ACGCCGCAGTGGGAGCTCACAGACTTGGTCCAGGCTTCAGTGAAGGAGAAGTCACGAGGTCTAAAACATCCCATTACCGTGTCAGCTTCAAAGACAGCAGTGCTCGAGGACAGAGAACAGTGTATGTGTTCTAAAAACATTAAAGGGAAGGATGGAAATGATGAAGAAAAATGACCTGAGGGTAAGGTGACAATTGGTTCTGGTGTACCAGGGACAGGTGAGTTTGTGCATGTTGTCCTGGCGTGAGTATTAACAGTGCCCCGTCACTCTCTGGAGAGCATCTGGAAGGGTCTGGATTTGACTGAAAAGTCACATGATTATCCCACCAAAGAGAAGACATCAGCCAGAGGACCCTCCCCACAGGCTTGGATAGGCGCCCTGCCAGGCTGAGCTGGGACCAGGAAAAGCGAGCTCAGCTCCACGTGGCTCTGGTGCCACCTACAGGCGATCTGGGGAAATGCCTCTCCCTTTTCCTGACAGCCTTGAACTTGGCCAAAGACCTACAGAGTACCTGAAGCTGGATGTTCTGGAGGTGGGGGGTGGGCTGTAACCAGGTAGTGAAGCCCGAGTTACGGAGCCACGTGGACCCAGCCAAGGCCAACAAAACCAAGCTCCTCTCTTCCTGCCCACCTCAGTCTTGCCTTGCTTAGTAAACCGGAAACTGAGGCCCAATTCAGACTTGAATGGGTAGGATTGTGGAGCATGTGGCTGGAGCCTTCCTGGTATCATCACCCCCATGCCTATTTTCCCCCATGGTGACCAAATCCAGTTGGAAAGTGGGGAAGGAAGGGAGCGTAAACTTACTAAGCTCCTACTATGCACCAGGCACAGAGTAGGCACTTTATGTACCTTATCTCCAGCCTCATAAATGGGTTGAGAAGTAAGTGATACAGGAGCGGAGTGGGCCTGTGACTGGCTCGTGGGCCCTCAGCTGCCGTTTGAACCCGAGGGTCTTGTTCTGGGGTCTCTGACTTGAGCAGTGTTTGCAGAGCACACAGCGCTCCCCGTGGGAATCCAATACGGCCCCGGAAGAAGGCTGCGTGGCAGGCACAAGCGGCGAGCGTCTTTCCTTTGGGTGGGAGTGTCTCAGCGACTCTCTCACTCTACACAACACGGGCTGTCTCCCAGGAACACGGGTGCAGCTTGCTATTTGTGCAGGCTGTTTGAGCAACAGGCTCTGTCAGCTCACGGGGGCCTGTGGGTCCCGGGCAGTGGAGGCGGGAAACCGTCACTTCCCCCACCCCAGGTAGCCCCCCCACCCCCGCCCGTCCACACTCCCCTCTCCCTGGTTCCCTTGAGGACTTCCTTTCTGCCTGTTTGTTTAATGGGGGTGAAATGCACGCAGCGTGAACCTCACCTTCTCAGCCACTTCTAGGTGGAGAGCTTGGTCGTATGAAGTGTATTCACGCTGTTGCTCAACCAGCGTCCAGAGCTCTTTTTGTCTCTTGCAAAATGGAAACTCTGTCCCCATCGAACGCTAACGCCCTGCTCTGCCTCCACCAGCCCCTGGCCGCCGCCCCTCTGCTGTGTGTCTCTGGGATCTCCACCACTCGAGGCCCTGTCCACAGGCGGGATTGTCCTACGGTATTGGTCTTCTCACGGCCGGCCTGTTTGGTTAGCATCACGTCCTCGAGGTTTGTCCCTGTTGTAGCCTGTGTCCGATTTCGTTCCTTTTTAAGGCTGAATAAGGTCTGTCGTCTGTGAAGACCACACCTTGTTATCCATCTACCCACCGATAGGCAGTTGGGGGGCTTCCGCCTTTTGGCTCTTGTGAATAATGCTGAGCATTGGTACGCAAATATCTGCCCCATTTTTAGCCCTGGCTGGTGTGGCTCAGTGGATGGAGTGCTGGCCTGTGAACCCAAAGGTCTCTGGTTCGATTCCCAGTCAGGGCACATGCCTGGGTTGCAGGCCAGGTCCTCAGTAGGGGACATGCAAGAGGCAACCAACTGATGTTTCTCACATTGATGTTTCTCTCCTTGTCTTTCCCCCTCCCTTCCCCTCTCTCTGAAGATAAGTAAGTAACATCTTTAAAAAAAAATTATTTACTGACTTTGAGAGAGAGACAAAGAGAGAGACAGAGAGACACACAGAGAGAGAGAAACATTGATTTGTCCCCCTTATTGACACATTCATTAGTTGCTTCTTGTATGTGCCCTGACCAGGGGGGATTGAACCCGAAACCTTGGTGTATTGGGATGATGCCCTAACCAACCAAGCAACCTGGCGGGGACCCCCTTTGAGTCGTTTTTGATATAGTTTTGTTTTACCCTTATGTCAATCTAGAGTTTACATACATATTTCCTTCGTAGCTGTTTTCCAAGTTATATAAAGTATATGCACTTCTGAGATTGGCTTTTTTCAGTTGCGATGGAATCTGGTTTGTGGCTGGAGTTCATTCTTTTGTCTGCCGTGTGACCACGGGGGAGGGTGCCGATTCCTGAGGTGTCTGTGCTGCACTCGCCAGGACTGCAGGTGGGGATGGCCCTTTGGGGGAGTTTGGCTCTGCCTGACACGGCTGAGTATTCACATGCCTTGCAACCCTCTGCTGACACCCAAGAGGAGTTCCTGCCCATGGAAATGGGGGCTGTGTCCAGGAGGGTTCCTAACAGCCCTGCACCCAGCAGCAGAGCCTGCTGCCCACGGGCTGGACGGCAGAGGGATAGAGTGTTGTGCAATGGGAATGGTTTCCGTTCTTTCTGGCTTCCTGGAGTCATGTGAGGCCAGCGGCCTCTGTGTGGCCCGCACAAGGAACAGTGGGTTCTTGCAGCAACCAGGGCTGCTGCAGTGTCAGGTGCCTGGAGCCGCTCAGCCCCAGGGCGACCCCTCCCACTCCAGACATGAGTGAGGAGGTTGAAGGGCCCCCAAAAAGGGTTTGGGGTGCAGAAGGAGAAGGTTCGACCTCTAAGACATAGCAGCATAGGCGTCTTATCAAATGCTTCTGTCCTTGGGCTGGACCATCCCCTATAACACTCTGAAGTTCATTGGGCTGGCATCCACCTACCCTGTGCCTCATACCGTACTAAGCATGTCAGTGGTATTTACCTCTGACCCTCACCGGTCAGCGTGCCTCGTGGTTGGTGACTCACGTGAACCCCCCCATTCCCAGGCGAGGAAGCCCCGCCTTTGCCTCCTCCGGCAGCTTCCTGGCAGCCCCGTGGCTGGAGAGCAGCTCAGCCCAGACCCCAAAGCTGTGGCTCCAGGAAGAGGGAGGTCTCTGCAGGCTTTGGCCAGCTTTCCTCCCCACAAGTCTTCCTCCCGATGTTCTCACAACTCAAGCAGAGGTCCACCTTTCATGGAGCGAGCAGAACTCACAGCCCCTTCGTTTTAGAGGGGAAGGAAGTTAGTAAAGCTGTCAGGAACTCACTTTCTTTCCACATGCTCATAAAGCAGCTGCTGGGGCGCCTCCCCAAACAAGCTGTGCCTAAGGGGGCGCGCTTCAGGGCCAGGCATCGCCCTCAGTCATGGTCAAGGGCAGTGAGGCCTGCCCTGGCCACACCGTTGTGAGTCTGCCTGCCTTTCCGAAGAGCTGATCTATTGTTGGCGATCAAAAGGGCCCTGGGGAGAAGGGGAGTGGGTGGGCAGAGTCCTGACCTGTGGCCTCCTGATCTGGGCATAATCTCCTCCCCAGTCTCAGGGAGCAGGGGATGGCAGCCATGTCCCCCAGCCCCTTCTCCCAGCCTGGTGGGCGCTGCTCCACTCTCTTCCACATTCTCCGCCTTCAGATCTGCGGCCTGGGGCCCGGCCTAGTTTCCCTTCCCCAGAGCTGTGTGCAGGCAGAGGGTGAGTGGCTTTGTCCTAACAGGACCCTGGCTCCTCTTTCCTCTTCCTGATTTTCGGTGACCCCCTACCCTGGCTGCGTATTATCCTTTTCTCTCACCGCCATTTCTCATTCTCCTCCAAACTGGATCGCTCGGGCCAGCCAGTGGAAGCTGCTGGTCTTCTTGACGCAGACAGCTCTAGGCAGCTGGTGGTGGCCCAAACTCAGGGCAGAACGTCACTGTCGTAGCTCAGCAGAAGTGACGGCTCCACTGATGCTGCCTGGGCCGCTGGGGTCGAGGGCCTCACCAGACTGAGGGCCCTGAGCTGAGCCCCAGGGTGCACACACTCGCCCCGAGGGTGCTCCGGAGCAGGGCTTAGGCGCTCCCCCGCACCCTCAGTGCACAAGCACACGGCACTATAGTTACCGTGGCTAATAATGACCGAGGGCGCGCCCTGAGCGAGGCAGCGCAGTAAGTTTTCACACAGACCACCTCACCTAGTGATTTCTACTTTTCAGATCCAGAAACTAAGGCTTGCCGTGGCCGAGTGGCTGAGTTTGTTGGTGCGTCATCCCGCACACCAGAAGGTCGCAGGTTCGATCCCTGGTGGGGGCGCATATGGGAGGCAACTGATTGATGTCTCTCTCTCTGTTTCTGTCTCTCTCTCCCTGTCCCTTCCTCCGTCTCTAAAATCAATAAACATACCCTTGGGTGAGGATTAAAAAAAAAGAAAGGAGAGAAAAGAAACCGAGGCTTAAAGCTGTTAAGTATTTTACGGCTAGCAAAGTGGCAGAGTCAGGACTTCCACCCAGGCAGTCCAGCTCCAGGGTCCTGGCCCTGAGCCATTGTAACATCCAGTGTCAGCAACACAAAATTAACGGGCACACATGTTCAATTATATTTTAAGAGGGTGACTTTCTGTTTGGGGGCATTCCACTCACAAAAGCCATTGAGCTAGATATTAACTGAGGACACATAAAAACTAATGAACTCTGGAAAACATGAGCACCGTGACGTCACCGCAAGACACATAACAGCAAATTGCTTTCTTTTGTTAACATATTTTGCTGACAGGCCATGAGCTAATAATCAGCCTGAACTCTGCAGGGCCCCGTTCCCTTGGGAGGTGTGCGTGCGCGTGTGCACACACACCACGGACAGGCACTGAGAACCAGCCTGGGTCTGCAGACGAGGAAGGCCCCATGGGCAGCAGTGATGGGCTAGGAAAGCAAAGGGCCTCAGTCAGGGAGCAGCACGAACATCCCACAGTTATCAACCGTCGCGATGTCCAGGATGGAGGCAACGAGGTGGCAAAGGCAACACAGGGGTATCGGATTGTGCAAAAATCCAAAGGTCACTAGCAGGATCAGGCTTGGACTTGACCCTGGGTCTGCCAGCTCTCGTGATCTTGCCACCACATGGTAAGCCAAGATGCAAACTGGACGTGAGGAGGGTCACCCAACACAATGATTGGTTTGGGCATCTTAGGAGTGTGGGCAAGGACAGGCAAGGCTTGAGGACTAGCCAGTTTGAAGAGGGGAGTGACCACGGTTTCCTGATGCCTGGTCTCTCTGGAGAGGGAGCAGTGGGAAGGCAGGGGCTGGCTGTCCCCCCAGCCCCCCAGGGTCCCTCCTCTGGCTTGCTGGGGCCTGGAACCGTGCTTCTGAGCACAGATGCTGGAGCCAGACTGTTGGGTCCAAGCCCCAGCTCGTTCTACTTATTAGTGCTGTGAGCTCCAGGTACTCCCCAACCTCCGTGCCTCAGTTTCCTCATCCAGGAAGGAGTTCACACAGCCTGAGACCTTAGCCCGGGCTGTGGCGCTGAGATCCTCTGTGTACCAGTTTGCTTTCCCACCAGCAGTATAGAAGGGTTCCAGTTCCTCCACATCCTCCTCAGTGCTTACTGTCTTCTGCTTTTTGTTTTTAAATTATTTTTCTTTATTGATTTGAGAGAGAGAAAGAGAGAGAGAAACATCGATTCGTTGTTCCACTTATTGATGCTTTCATTGGTTGATTCTTGTATGTGCCCTGACCGGGGATCGAACCCACAACCTTTGTGTGTCAGGATGATGCTCTAACCAGCTGACCTACCCAGCCAGAGCCCAGACTGCTGTCTTATTTTGCAGAAACACTGAGACTTCATGCTGTAGTTCAAACATTCCCGATAGAACTTTCCCCGTAGATGACAACCATCATGCTTCAGTGTATCATTCTACTTGTTTATGATCAGCTTCTGTATTCTCTCAGAAGAGAGAAAAATAATCTCAATTGAATACATCACTAGCCTTTAAGGAATTCATACTTTTTACTTGTCACATAGCGTATGAAAGTTTAGCTGGCTGACTTTCTCCCCTCCCTCCCCCCCTCTTCCTTCCTTCCTTCCTTCCTTCCTTCCTTCCTTCCTTCCTTCCTTCCTTCCTCAGTAGGAGGAAGAGAGCATGACTTTCTCAGTGAAGCAAGAAGCAGGTTGACGTACAATTTGGTGCGAGAGCTTCTTAACCTGAATTAGTTCCCCAGATGTTTTCCTGTCATTCCCACTGCTTCAACAGGACCTACTTCCATTCAAAACCTAAACTTCCAACTTCATTTGCAGACACTAACCACACCCCTTGATGTGACGGTCACGTCAAATTGCTATAAAATCTTCCAAGTACCACCCGCATCTCCTCCCAGATGGTAACGGTGGCAGACCTGCAGAGAGAGGGACCTCGCACTTTGAGTAACTCGTCCACGTCATTCCCTCTCACTCCACATCCCAGCGATCTTGCCCTCCCTCTTCTCTTCAGGCCCAGGAGTGGTATCAGCCTGGCTGCTCTGGGTCACTTCGCCATTCCTATGCTTCTCCATCATGGCACCTTTATGAATTATTACTTTCTTAAGAAGCCTCCTCCTTTCACTGTCCTAATGATAGTGTTATCTCCTGGGAAATGTTTTCTGTTACAACCCGAGGTAGCACTTTGCCCAGCACAGAAACAATGGGCGATACATCTGTACTAAGTAAACGAGCAAATACTGTGCTGGATGAATAAGACAACGTTTTGCAGGGCGTTCAGAAAAGGAGAAGGCCAAAGGCACAACACGAACTGTGTCTCTTCCTGAGACGGCCACTCCTCTCCGGATCTGGCCTGTGACGCTAGAGCCAGCACTAGCTTGCACAGGGCCTTTGTGTGAGTTCGGAAAAGGCAACGACTCTGGAAGGAAACAGCCCCCAAAGCCCCCAAACCACATCCAGTGCTTGAAGCCCTGGATGTGGACTAGCTCTTTGCTTAAACAAAGCACACAGTCTTCTTTTTTTTTAGATTTTATTTGTTTATTTTTAGAGAGAGGGGAAGGGGAGGAAACAGAGGGAGAGAAACATCAATATGTGGTTGCCTCTCGTATGCCCCCCACCGGGGACCTGGCCCGCAACCCACACATGCGCCTTCACTGGGACTTGAACCTGTGACCCTTTTGTTTGCAGGCCAGCGCTCAATCCACTGAGCTACACCAGCCGGAACCAAAGTGCACAGTGTTAATGGTCTACCCCAGGCTGAGCGAGCTGGCAGGTCAGTCAGTACTGGAGGTTTGACCAACTAAGCATGACTCTCTGAGGATGCCTATTATAGCTCAGGTTTTGTGGAAATGCGATATTTTTGTTTGCAGGGTGATCTTTTTCACACATTTCCTCCTCAGCTTCCTACGTGTGGGAGGAGAGTCCTTGCTGGCATGATGCCCACGGGCAGTATAACGACCCAATGGGGCTGCAGCATCCCTAGGGACAAACGTCTCTCAGTTCTGGGTGTCCTTGTGCTGCCCCCAGAAGCCCAGCAGACCCCACGCGGCAGGGCTTGCCAGTGAGGGCAGCCCGGGGCGGGGCGCAGCTGGGCCTTTCTGGTCGGAGAGGGCACTCCTCCTGCAGGGGAAGCACTGGCCCCTGGCGTGCAGTGGGGAGAAGGGAAGGCTTGGGGTCCGGGAGCAGGGTGGGGAAACCAGAGAGCTGGTCTGTGTGTGCGATTCAGGCCTTCCTGTTGTAGAGAAGTGATTTTGCTTGACGAGAATTCCCAGAATCCCTGACATACCCACATCGGATTGGGCCCAGACCCATCCCCCCCCGTGGGGGATGGGCCAAGGGCTAGCAGCCCCCGTCCACGCACAGCCCCGTCCTGTGGTGTCCACGGCTTTGGGCGCTTGCATGGCATTGACTCCCTGATTCCGAAGGCCCGGAAGGGAAGGAGCTTCCGGAGGACCCGGCTCCTGTCTGCGCTAGAAGCGTAGCACATCTTCACTTCTCGTATTTCTTAACCTCCCGAGCAGACCTGTCAGCTGCTGGTTTGGCGGTGACGACAGGGTGTTTACTCTGCAATCGCACCAGAGGTGGGGAGGCTGGCAGGATGCGGGCAGGGCGAGTCCGGGAGCCTGGGGCAGGCGTTGCTCTTTCTGCTAGAACAGGAGTCAGCGCCGACGGTAGGACTCCCTGTACTTGGACACTGAGGACATGTTGGACATTGTCTCCCTGTGCTAAGGAGCAAGACACTGAAGCTCCGTGACAGGCACTATTTTGGAAATGATGAAATCCGTGTTAGAACCCCAGCTGGTGGCTGTTAGCCCAATGTGATTTTCAGCTCTGCTGTGCGGCCTCTTAAAGTCACTTCTTTAAAAAGATTTTATTTATTTGTTTTTAGAGAGGGAAGGGAGGGAGAAAGAGAGAGAGAGAGATCAATGTGGAGTTGCTGGGGGCCGTGGCCTGCAACCCAGGCATGTGCCCTGACTGGGAATCAAACCTGCAATGCTTTGGTTTGCAGCCCACGCTCAATCCACTGAGATATGCCAGCCAGGGCTAAAGTGACTTTCTTATCACTTGCTGTGTCTACAGACATATCACCCTGAACATGCCCGATCTCGTCTTCTCACTAGGTTTCCATGATCAGAAAGGAGAAGGATCACTCAGAGCCCTGTAAGCCACAGCCTCGATGTTAGATGTGATCCTTGGAGCCCTGGGAACCCAGTGAAGGGTTTTAAACATACAAATGTTATGATCATATTTTAAAAGATCACAGAGAAGACAGCACTGGAAAGGAGCAAAAGCGGATGCAAGGAATTGGAGTGGGAATGTCCAGCCTGTAGCCCCCAGACCACAGGTGGCTCAGGATGGCGATGAATGTGGCTCAACACAAAATCATAAATTTACTGAAAACATTATGAGATGTTTTTGTGATTACGTGTCACAATGTATTCCGTGTGTGGCCCAAGACAACCCCTCTTCTTCCAGTGTGGCCGAGACACCTAAAGTTTGGATGGCCCTGCTTTGGAGGCTGTTGCAATGGCTCAGCGGGGAGGAGGCAGCGTCTCGGACCAGGGCGGGCAGAGTGGTGTGGACAGAAGTGAGGCAGACCCAAGGACACCTATGAGGCAGGCCCACAGAACGTGGTATGAAATGGGAGTAAAAAGTGAGGGAGAGGGTCGTGGAGCATTTGTGGAACCAGGGGAGGTGGAGGAGGAGCTGGCTCTGGGGAAAGAGTGAGTTTGGACACGTTAAATGCAACAGGCCTGGGACACAAGGGGAGAAGTTATAGTTGGGTGTACAGGCCTGCCGTGCAGAAGGCCGGTGTGCCTTGCAAACAGAAAGGTGGGGTAATATCACAGAGACTGTGCTTGAAGCCTGGAGGAGGTCACCTAGGAAAAGAAAAGAGTCTGAGAGAAGATACAAAGGGAATAACCACAGCGTCTATTCCGTCACAGGCACCTGAGAACACAGAACACCTTTATTTTCAAATTCTGTGCTGGTTCTTAGGCTGTTGTTTCTCAGTTTCAAACTTACCCTCCTATACTCTGCTTTGGGTGCTGGGGCCACAGACCATAGTTCCCTTCGGCCTGCAGGGTGGTAGGGGCTGCGTGAGGGAGACAGGCTGGTGGGAAGGAGGAAAGGGTACCGGCATTTGGGGCAGCTGGGCTGACCTCTCAGGGTGCGCTGCGAGGCTGGGCCTCAGGGGGATTGAATACTGCACATGAAATTGCTGCTGCCACCAGGACGCTGTCAGGAGCAGGAAGCCAGAACAAGAAAAGAACAAGTCCCTCTCTCGCACCACCACGACCCCCAAATGCCAACACTTTCCTCTCAATGGAGACAAAGTATTCCTCCCTCCCCCATTCCACCCTCCCATTCCAAAATAAAAGTGCGGCTTGCCTTCCTACTTCCACGCTTTCTGGTCTTTGTGGTGTTCACATTGCCTTCGCACCTCCACGTCCCTCGACACTTTATTCCTTTTGGAGCTAGCAAACCGCCTGGCACGTAGTTGAAACCAAGTAAGTGTTTGAATGATGGAAGTATGAACATTGTGTAACGCGCAGAGAAATCAAGACTCAGGGGTGCGACTGGCCACGTGTTCCATGGAGAGTGACCAGGGAAGCCGGAATTGGCTTCTGAGCCTTTTGACCACAAATTCATATGATTTCCAGGTGTTCACACCTTGGTCTGGAAGTCCGATACCAAGGCAACAGAGAAATGATTTAGCTGGTCACTGAAACGAAAATCAAGGATAGGGGGTTGATTATAAGCCAGGGTCCAAACTTGTGAAAATTTCACCTTAGGACAGTTTCTGGCTGAGTTGGCTGCAGCAGAATAATGAGTCACTTGGTGGCTTCAGCAGGATGGGCTCCACTTCCTGTGCCTCGTGGGGAGCCCTGTGGTCATCTGGGCGTAGGTGGCCCCATGCCCACGTGGACACACCTCAGACAGGGAGCGGTCCTCTCGGCTTTTCTGAGGTTTTGGCGAGACTGTCTCAGCCCTCTCACAATTTCCTTGCGGTCCCTTTAACAGGGAGGGCGCTCACACTGGTACGTGGTGTTCACTCAGTGGTCACTGGTGCTGTCTGTGTCCTAAGGGTGGGCTTCCTGCTATAGACAGGAATGCAACTGAGACAAGGAGTTTGTAATGTAGAAGAGGAGATAAGTAGGAAATCACCTAGTCATAACCAAGGCAAAACCAAGGAAATAAGTGCTGGAACAGGTGAGGTACCGGGCAGCTGGAGGAAAGGAGAGGTTCCATTCAAGAGGGAAGTCTTCGTGAAAGAGATGACCTTTGAGAGCAGCCTTCCAGGAGATGTTGGAGCGGGATAGTGTGAAATATTCTCTCCTTCGCAATTAGTCTACATTCAAGTTCCTGAAGTTCAAAATTCTATGTTCACGCCAGTTGTGATTTCTTCCACTCCTTCTTTCATGCTGAAGTTGCTCTCTCTTCATGCAGGCTTGTAGACTCTCACCTGTGTTATTCTCATGGTCATTCACGCGTGACCTGGCCGGACTCCAAGGTCAAAGTTTTCGGCCAGTTTTCACCAGTGCTCCCTTGCTTTCTGAATTTATCTGTCTTGCCCCTCGCCAACCTGGTCTGGCTGAAGTCAAGGTCATTCACTCAGTATGAGGTCTCTCTCTGTCTCTGTTTATCTGTCTCTGTCTCTGTCCGTCCCTGCATCAGCTCTAAGATCTAGCAGTTACATGTCGGATATATCCCTAGAACCGGTACAGTCCTTTCCACACCCATGGCCACTTCTCCCACACCAGTATGTCTCACTATTCAAGCTTCATGCGACTTGGCCCCTTGAATTAATAGCAGGCTCAACCTAGAATCTGGATTTCCTGCCTCTTTTTGGTGGTGACTTAACAGTTTTAAACCCACTGTAATCCATTTTGTGCACTAGTGCCAGATTAATCTTCTTAGAAGTGGTCACTCCCACTGAATGAAACTATAGCCCCGGGCATGGTGTCTCAGGGCTCCAGCATCAGGTCCCCAGTAACACCTCAGTTGTGTCTTCTTCATGGCCCCTGCTGGACTGTGTAACCAGCCAGGATCTTGGACGGCCTCTGAACAGGGCCGTACTTTTGTGCGGGTAATTTCTGGAATTGATTTCTTCCTCCTGTGCTAGGTAGTAGGTCAGTCCTTTAAGCACCTTGTCACACGTTATCTGATGTGTCCGTAGCAGACACTGTGGTTGACTTCCCGATGCCTCTTCTTTCCCGGATGACGGGTCCTGTCCATTGATGTGTGATGGGTTGAGGGGTGGGCATGTGAGACTTTTCTGGACAATTACATGGAAGGGAAGTCTGTTGGGGGGATTTTTGGACAGGTCCTCGTGTCTTGGAAGGAGACATGGAAGAAATAGTCCTTTTGATTGTCAATACAGCCATGTTTGGATGTGACCCACAGGAGCAGCCGTGGCTAACAGCGCTCCTCCTAACAAAGGAGATGGGAAGATTCTGGAGGACTTTATTGAAGCTCTCTAGTCGGCCAGTCCTGGAGCCTTCCCTGTGTGGGCTTTCTGGGATGAGAAGTAATACACTTCCTTATCTTCTAAGCTATGTTCTGTTATTTGCAGCCTAAAGAACCAGGAAACAGTATTTTGTTTCCAATGCTAGACTTTAAGCTTCTCTTTTAAAAAGTGTATTTTATTGATTATGCTATTACACTTGTCCCATTTCCCCCCCTTCACTCCCCTCCACCCTGCATACCCGCTCCCACCCACATTCCCCCCTCCTTTAGTTCATGTCCATGTGTCATACTTATAAGTTCTTTAGCTTCTACATTTGTCATACTATTCTTACCCTCCCCCTTTCTATTTTCTACCTACCATCTATGCTACTTATTCTCTGTACCTTTACCCCTCTCTCCTCCTCCCACTCTCCTGGTGCTAACCCTCCATGTGATCTCCATTTCTGTGGTTCTGTTCCTGTTCTACTTGTTTGCTTAGTTTGTTTTTGTTTTAGGTGTGGTTGTTCATAATTGTGCGTTTGCTGTCATTTTACTGTACATGTTTTTTACCTTCTTTTTCTTAGATAAGTCCCTTTAACATTTCATAAAATAAGGGCTTGGTGATGATGAACTCCTTTAAGCTGACCTTATCTGAGAAGCACTTTATCTGCCCTTCCATTCTAAATGAAAGCTTTGCTGGATAGAGCAATCTTGGATGTAGGTTCTTGCCTTTCATGACTTGGAATACTTCTTTCCAGCCCTTTCTTGCCTGAAAGGTCTCTTTTGAGAAATCAGCTGACAGTCTGATGGGAACTCCTTTGTAGGTAACTCTCTTCTTTTGTCTTGCTGCTTTCAAGATTCTCTCCTTATCTTTAATCTTGGGTAATGTAACTATCATGTGCCTTGGTGTGTTCCTCCTTGGGTCTAGCTTCTTTGGGACTCTCTGAGCTTCCTGGACTTCCTGGAAGTCTATTTCCTTTGCCAGATTGGGGACGTTCTCCTTTATTATTTGTTCAAATACCTTTTCCACTTGGTGCTCTTCCTCTTCTCCTCTGGTACTCCTATAATTCAGATGTTGGAACATTTAAAGATGTCCTGGAGGTTCCTAAGCCTCTCCTCATTTTTTTGAATTCTCGTTTCTTCATTCTTTCCTGATTGGATGTTTCTTTCTTCCTTCTGGTCCATTCCATTGATTTGAGTCATAGTTTCCTTCCCATCACTATTGGTTCCCTGTATATTTTCCTTTATTTCACTTAGCATAGCCTTCATTTTTTCATCTAATTTGCGACCAAATTCAACCAATTCTGTGAGCATCCTGATCACCAATGTTTTGAACTGTGCATCTGATAGGATGGCTATCTCTTTGTCGCTTAGTTGTATTTTTTCCGGAGCTTTGACCTATTCTTTCGTTTGGGTCATTTTCTTTGTCTTGATGCGCTCCTATTACGTACTGAGGGGTGGAGCCTTAGGTGTCACCTGGGCGGGGCAACCCAGTCGCTGGGTTATGATGCTGTATGTGGGGCAACGGACAGAGAGGGAATAATGGCGCTTGCTCTGCTCTCTGCTGGATTTCAGTCACTCCCCCTGCTTTCCCCAAGCAAATAGGGCCCTTCTGGTGCTGACTCCTGTATGGGTGGGTTTGTGTACATTCTAGGACCCCGTGGGTGTCTCCAAGGAACTCTCCTGTGAGGCTGGGAGTTCCTCTCGGCACCTCAACCCCCACAGGTGTTTTCAATTGGTGTTTTGAGGCTTTATTTCCTCATGCTGGGACCCTGGGTTGCGTGGCCTGCCTCGCTCCCCAGTTTCGCGTGGTTCATTTGCGCGAGAATGTGAGACCATCCAGTCCGCCAGCTGCCTTGTGTGCCGCACCCCTCCACAATCTGCCGCTTCGCTGGGTCTGCCAGCCGCCGCCTTGAATGCCCAGGGTCTACCAGTCACCGCTTTGCTATGACCCCTCTCCGCCCGGCTGCCCAACTCTGCCCCTCCTACTGGTCTGGATGAATATGTCTTCTTTAACTCCTTGGTTGTCGGACTTCCATACAGTTCAATTTTCTGTCGGTATTGGTTGTTTTTTGTTTCTAAATTGTTGTTGCCCTTATTTTGGTTGTGCGAGGAGGCACAGTGTGTCTACCTACGCCTCCATCTTGGCCAGAAGTTCCTTGACTTTAAATTTCTTAAATTCAAGGACTCTATTTATTTTTCTGGCCCTCTTAGGGCTTGACTCACAGCAGATACTAAAAAATGATTGTGAAATATTTATTTATTTATTTATTTATTTCTGAGATATAACTAGTAAAAGCATTTGTAATTTATAAAGCTCTTGATTTTTTCCTAGTAATTTAGAGATAAAAGAAGGCTTAGATCAAATAACTGGTTCAAGGCATTTTATTTGTCAATCACACCAAATTTTGAACAGGTTGTTCCCCTTTGTTTCCGATCCTTGTCTGTGACTTCCATGCCTCTTAGGGTCCCAAAGTGGGAGTGAAGGCAAAAGCAGCCAGCCTCTCCTGTGCCTGCCTCCGCCATAATGCCAATGCAGTATCCCAGTTATTTCTGAGAGCTTGGGGCTGGAACCCCCTCTCCTCTCAGTCCCAGTTCGAGGTGGTATCTCCAGTACCAGGCCCATGAACCCCCATAAATACACATTGCATGGGGAAGTATTTACCCAGGGAAGACAGATCATAGCTTTTATTAGATTCTCAAAGGGGTCCGTGACTCCCTGAAAGGCTAAGAAGCACTAGAAGGCGATATCTGAGAGGTAAAAACAAATAAATGCATTTGAAATGTTCCTCAATCAGTGGACTTCGTATCTCCTGTGTTCTGTGTTTTGTCAGCTAAGGGACCAGTAGACTAGAGACCACTGGGAGGGAGATCCTGAATCAGAGATGTTTAGGGGCAGGGACGGCTAGGTAACTCTAGTCAGGACCAGTGTGAAGGGAAAGCGCAGGGTCCCCTGTTGAAAAATCGTTGAGAATTTCAAAATGGCACCGCAGAGCATTAAACCCAGCAAGAGGCCCTTCCCTTGCACCAATCCATTTGCAGAGGCCCTAGCATGTGCCAGGGGCGGCGTCGGTGCTGGGATTCCAGACAGGAGCGTCCATTCAGTCACGTTGGGTGCCGACATAGTAAAGGCCTTGTTCTAGGTCTTGGGGTTGCGGCTCTGAATAAGACCTTGGTGTTGGGCAGAGACAATGAACAAATGAGCGGGGGAAAAAGGTCAGATAGCGATAGGTGCCGATGTGGTTCAGGGTGGCCGCATGGTACTTTAAAGGGCACGGTCAGCGCGGCGGCCGCACGGAGGTGAGAGCGCTATTGCCGGCGTGCGATCCAGGGCAAAGGCTCCATAGGAGGGAGAGAGTGAATGCGGAGCGAGCCGGGGCCCCGGATGAGCGGAGCGTGACCCGACACCAACCAGCCGTCGCCCAGGGTAGAGCGCGAGGCAGGACCCCGTGGGGGCGCTGGCAGCGGAGGCGTGGCTTGCGGCGGGGGCGGGCCTTGCGGGGCGAGGCTTTGCGGCAGGGGCGGGGCCAAGGGCGGGGCGGAGGGCGGGGCGGGCGGCCTCTGCCGGTGGCGGGGCGGTGTCGTGTAGCCCACTTCGGCCTCGGGCTGCCGCCTCCTGCCGGCCGCGTCGGTTACAAAGGGCCGCTGCCCGGCCGGCCGCCCTCAGCTTCTTCCGGCCGTGACGGCGGCGCGGGCCTGGCTCCCGGCCGGAGATGAGGGGAGGATGTCGGTTTCGGGGCTCAAGGCTGAGCTGAAGTTCCTGGCGTCCATCTTCGACAAGAACCACGAGCGGTTCCGCATCGTCAGCTGGAAGCTGGACGAGCTGCACTGCCAGTTCCTGGTGCGGCCCCCGAGCGGCGCGGCCTCGGCGGCGCTCACGCTGCACTGCAACATCACGGTGCGGCGCCGGGCCGGGCCGGGCCGGGCCGGGGGACCTGGGACGGGGTGGCCCGGACAAAGACGCCCGGCCGGGGCCGGCCGCCGCCACGCGAGGCTGGGCGCCCCGGAGCTGGGCCGCTGCTCCTTCGCAGCCGGGTCGCCGCGGGGTGAGGGGGGTGCGGGGAGTTGAGGGGACGGCGGCGGCGCGCCGGGGTCGCCATGGCCGTGCTCGGCTGTGCGGGTGGCGGGGACGGGCGGTGAGGACCGGGGACCGGGAGAGGCCCCGGAGTTGTCCGACTCAGGGTGTCAGGCCGCGCACCCGCCGGCGCCTCTTCACGTCCGCGTGTCGGGAGGAGCTGACCCGAACCCGGGGCGTCTGAGGGAGATCGGGCGCCGTGCAGCCGGCCGCGCAGGTGCCCTGAGTGGGGACCGTCCACTTCCTGTCACGGGGCCGCAGGGACCCTCCCGCTGCCTCTCAGGGACGTGGGAGGCTCCTGGGAGCCCCGGGCCGGGGGACCACCCGTGGGGCGGACGTGCCCCTCGGACCGCGGCCCTGACCCAGGCCCCGCGGCCGCTCCGCGTTCCTGCGTGAGGAAGTCCGCGGCCGCTCGGGAGTTGGCCGAGGCCTGGAAGCGGCCACGATTGCCATGAAAATGGGTTTCTGAGTGCTCTCCGGAGGAGCAGCTGTGTATTTCCGGAAAAACCAGTTCGGGCAAGCGCTCTGCTGGCGGAGGACGGAGTGGTTTATTGAGCATCTAAGTGCCGTGGGTACTATAGCCATGCAGGATCGGGGCAGCGCAGTCCCCGCTCTCTCAGAGCTCCGTCTTCCTGGGGCTCCGGTTTCTGCAGCGAGGTGTGACCCCGTTCTGCCGTGCCAGGGAAGCCCCAGGGGGCGCTCACTGTGGGCTGCGCTGGGCTGGGGGCGCTGCAGAGGCGGCGAGCCGGGCAGTGGCCGCGCTGTCACAGGTGAGTGCAGTAGAATTTCGAAGGGAGCCGGAGAGCACTGCGCGCAGAGGAAACTCGGCGGAGGAAGACACCGACGCTCGAGACGGGGTGGGTTGCTCAGAAGTGGAGAGACGTCGGGATGGAGACGTGAGAAGCCCAGCGCGGAGGGGAAAATTTTCCAACAATGGGAAGCAGGAAGCAGGAGTGAGCACAGGCAGTGGGCGAGAGCCAGGAGCCCGACCTCCGCGGTGATTATTCTCGGACGGTGGAATCTGGGGCACGGCCAGGAAACGGCGGGGCTGGTGCGCAGCACGGTGGGAGAGTGGACTCGGCGGCCGTGGGGAGCCGGCCGCTCGACACGCCCACAACTCAGGGGACTGTGTCTGCCATCCAGGACGAGGAGTGGGGCTCCGCACCGGGTGCCTTCGGGAAGGTGTGCGTGGTTTGGCCATCCCGGTGGCGGTGCTGCGGGGCTGGCAGTTAGTGCCGCGGGTACAGGGATGCCAGATGACGTGTAATTTTCAGGCAGTCTGCCACGACAAAGACTCATCCCACCTCTAGTGCCAGCAGGGCCCCATTGACAACCAGGCTGGAGGGAGGCTGCCGCGCACAGAGATGCTGAGCGATGATGACCTGGATTAGGAAGCGCAGCGGGAAGTGAGTTAGACACCCAGTGACGAGGGGATTTGGCGGGCACCAGCATAGCGGTGCCACCAGGAGACACTGCTCGGATTGCGATGCTAGGCTCTGTCTTACCAAGGAGCATCCTCTCGCAGTTTCTGTCATGTTGGAGTGAATGGTACCTCACTGGCTGTTCCTTACACACCTGTGTGCCGTGCTTTCCAGATAATCATCCAAAGGTGCTGTGCCCCTTCTTCTTTCAGGCTTCCGCACCAGCAGTTTGTGCTGTGGGAAGGTGCCCGTACACTCCACCCCAGTCGTCTTCGCCCGTCTGACCATCACTCCAGGGCCTCTGGTCATATTCAGTTCACGCTGTGTTTGTCTCCCCTCCTCCCCTTTTATCGTCCTTACTATTTACTGCTTTGCTTATGTTTCCGTATGTTCTGTTGTTATTGTTTTGGATGTTTGTCTTTCATCTTTTTTTATGATGGCAGGAGAGAATATCCTATAAATTATGCGTTTCATCTTTCACTCAGTAAATGCTCAGTAAATATTTGTTCTATTGAGTTGAGTAGAACTCAACTGTTCTAGCTGTATTCTATTGAACAAAAGTCGTGACTATCGTGTAAGTTAACTGTCAGAAGTTTGTCCAAAGTGTGTACAAACAACATCAAGATAGTGTTGTGGACAGTGCAGAAGTATTTAAGGGGTCACTGAGGGCTTGATAGGAAATCTGTAATTTGACTTCAAGTTCATACAAAAGACAGTTTTAAGAAGTGAAAAACAAAACGTTGATGTTTTGCTCTCTAGGCTAAAGGAATTGAGCTACATTTTTTAAAAAATAAATTTGTCCTAGTCTTAAATATGAAGGGCCAAGAGTGCTATTTGCAACTTCAAGGAGTCTTTTTAGTAATGAAAAAATGAACTTGTGATAGAAAGATTGTCATGAAAACCTAGGTACTGGTTTTCCATGTTCAGTGAAGAGCTCTGGTTGCCAGTCAGTGCTCGCGTCCTGTTGTTGTGAGCGAACCTGCAGGCAAAACAGCTTGTTTTAATAACCTGTGCGGCCTTATTGGGAGCTCATGCACGGTTTTCTTTTAGGCCTTTTGAAACATTTAACATAACATTTTAGGCCTTTTGAAACATTTGGCAACTTCGTTACTCCTTTTATGGACTTTTTGGTAGGAAATTGCTGTGTTACAGTGAACCCCCCCCACCAAGAAGTAAATTAGCTAGTAAACTAATAAACCCTCATACTTTATTATTTGTGTATCATAAATCCTTACTCTTTCTGCATATGTGGCTATTTGCCAGGCTACTTGTAGTGGAACTTTTTTGTTTAATTAAATTTCTATTCATCATTGGCCAAAAGCCCCCCTCCCTCCCAGCAGGAAGATACTAAATTAAAAAATGTTAGAGCTCTGAGTTTATGGGAGAGAAAAATATTTATTCTTTACTTAGTAGCAGGGACCTTAACCAAAGTAGTTGAGACTTTAAGCAAACCAATTCTGTTTTTCTATGTAATAGATAATCTTTTTGCCTCATGTGAAAGCATATATAAGAAAGCTCTGTACCAATGGTAATGTTCTCTGTAAATGTAAAAGTGATGAGTGCTGGTTTGATTCTTGGTCAAGACACAGGTAGCTTTTCATGGGAAATAAATCAGTGCTGTCAATTTCTTAATTTTCTGTGTTTCTGGTCTTGACACTGATGAAAAGGTGCCTAGCTGAGGTTATGCAAAGGAAATAATGAATGAAACTTGACTAAAGAGCCCAAGACCTTTTCTTTGGTCTGTCCTCCTGGGACAGATTGCCTTTCCAAATTAAATTCTGAGACAATCACTTGGAAATATCAGAACTGTCACAGTAAGCACCTAAGTGGTACTTTCAAGCCAGAGGAGTCATTGTTTTCATTCATCTGACCAATTCATAATATAGAGTCAAATTCCAAGTTGTTATCTATCCTCCCTCATCCCCTTCTCTGTGCCCTTCCTTGAAAGGAACAGACATATGAAGAGGAGACTTAGGTTTCCAGGTTATGAATGGTGTGTCCCATAGTAACTTGATTTTTTGTTTTGTTAAACTTCCTTAGACCTGGAAAAGGATAGTGTTAGATAAATGTCAGCTAGCTGAGGGGTGGGCAGTTGAATTGAGACAGTCACTGCTGAATGTAAAGCATTACTTGAGAGCCAGAGTGGTAAAGCAGGAGCCCCTTTTGTCAAGGCCCTTGTAAACTGTGTTCTCTGCTGCCTTCTAAAAGATCATTCTGGAAGATAGTAGACTCTGAACCAATCACCTAATGTTCAGGGACCACCCACTGGTCCCTGAACATTAGGTGATTGGAATCCTCTTTAGCCATTGTCTTTTGCCTCCTTCACATAGAAGGTTTTTGTTTTTTTTTAAATTTTATTTATTTTTAGAGAGAGGGCAAGGGAGAAAGAAGGAAAGGGAGAGAAATGTCCACGTGTAAGAGAAACATCAGTCTGTTGCCTCTCACATACCCCCAAGCAGAGACCTGGCCACACCAGGTATGTACCCTGCCCGGGAATGGAACTGGTGACCTTTTCCTTTGCATGATGACACCCAGCCCACTGAGCCACACCGGTCAGGGCATGTGGAATGTTCTGATTAGCTGTAATTTGCTGCTCGGAATGCTTAAGCATTTTTCTGATCTCAGGGGTATGTGTGCATTTTGTTTTTTTTAAATTTTTTTTCCCTCATGTTAGGGTTCCCATTCTGCTTCTGTGGGCTTTGGTCATGTTAGATACTTAGTTGTTTACTTGTAAAGTGGTTAATTATCAGGGAGCAATTTCCTTTTTTCTGACTTTTTGTAACTTTCTTTTAATGTTATCAGAAGGTTAGAATTTTATTAAGGTACTGGATGGTAATTCCGTGAGTTTATTTCATTTTCCACTCCACATTTATTGAACAGCAAATTGTGAAAGGAATGTGTCCCTTAATTGGCCTCCAGAAGAAATTATAACTGTTATAATCCTTCTTATAACAAGAAGTATGTACACAAATTTTCAAAAAGTGATGAAATCCTCAGAGATGGCCGTGTTCAGTCATTTGGGAAAGTACCAAAAACTGGGCATTCTGGTGGGCAGTTGGCTGGCGGCTGCCTTACAGAGTGTAGAGCCACACACTGGTCACATGGTGGATTTTTGAACGAGACAGAAACTCCTTTTCCTAAGCACTGGCAGGCAAAGACATTTGTTCGATTGGCCTTGAGTTGCGACACCTCGCATTAGGACAACACACCATTCTGTGGTTCCAAATGGTAGTGGTGGTGAACTTGTTGAAATTTGCCCACTTATGGTAGCTTTTCTGATGGTGGTCACAGACAACTCACCCTTCAAGCTTTTATTTCATATTTTAATTTTCTATAGTAGTGATTTTAGACAAAGAGAGAGGAAAGGGGGAGAGACAGAGACAGACACATTGATTTGTTTTGTTCTACTTATTGAATTCATTGAATTCACTTATTCTGCTTATATGCATTCATTGGTTGACTCTTGTAATGTGCCCTGATGGGGATGAAGCTCACAGCCTTGGGAAATCCGGAATATGCTCTGACCAGCTGAGCTACCCAGGCAAGGCCATTGGGAGCATTTTAGAGGCGGTCCACACAGTGTTCAGGTACACCACTGGCCTCTGAGCTGTGGCACACAGGCAGTGGCTGTTCAAGGAGACTGCCTGTCTCAAACCCCACCGCTACGACAAGTGAAAGCTAAAAGGAGCCATACGGTGAGCCATGTCACTGTTCCTTCTGCTTTCTAACACCAGATATATTTTAGAAGTAATCTTGCCCAGACTGGTGTAGCTCAGTGCATTGGGTGTTGTCCTGCAAACCCAAAGGTCACTGGTTTGATTCCCAGTCAAGGCACATGCCTGGGTTATGGACCCAGGCCCGTAGTTGGGGGCTGTGCAACTGGGCAATGTGATAGTGATGTTTCTCTCCCTTTCTCCCACCTTCCCCTTCTCTTTAAAAAAATAAATAATATATTTTTAAAAAGAAGTAATCTGCCCTGGTTGGTGTGGCTAAGTGGATTGAGTGCCGACCTACGAACCAAAGGGTCACTAGTTGGATTCCCAGTCAGGGAACATGCCTGGGTTGCTGGCCAGGTCCCTAGAACGAGGCGTGTGAGAGACAACCACGCATTGATGTTTCTCTCCCTCTCTTTCTCTCTCCCTTCCACTCAGTCTAAAAATAAATAAATAAAATCTTTTAAAAAAATAAAAAATAAAAAAAAGAAGTAATCTTAACCTCACTTAAGAAGTCTGTTCCTTTAGAAACTACATTCCTCCCTAGAATCTAAGAAGGGGTGGAAAATTACTAGAAAAAAATAATTTAAAGGATTGATTTTAGGGCCAATTTTGTAATGGAGAAAAATCTGAAGTAAATCTTAAGTAACTGCTGTATTTACGCTACTCAGAAAGCAATGAGGATAGTGAATAGACTTTTTAACGTCATTTTTAGCATTTGTAAGAATTTGAATTCATGGGTTTAGACATATGGTCCTTTGCTTGATTTTTTAAAAAAAATCATAGATGTCATCTACACAGTTTAGAAATGTAGCTTTTTATATTAAAAAAGGCAAATGTAGTAAAGCTTGAATCTATAGATTGTATTTCAAGGTTGTTTTTCAAAATTTGTTTTTGCTTTTTAAAAGATTTATTATGATTCCAGATTTTAAATCCTTTAAAAACGTTATAGCTGAGAATTCAGGCCATGACAGAAGGCGGCCCATCTTTCTTGGTGCTCGAATTCCATTTTCTTCTGCTTTTGGTAAAACATAACTCTTGCAGTGTGTTATCTTCTGTTTGTTTTAAATCATACTGCTTACTGGGTAAAATCATTTTTTTGTTTGTTTTTAGACTTATATGTTATATAACATGGAGCAGGCAAGATTCCATTAAACTGTGTTTTGTTTTGTTTTGTTTTAAATCCAGCCCTGGCTGGTGTGGCTCAGTGGATTGAGTGCCAGACTGTGAAGCAAAGGGTTGCCAGATCAATTCCTGGTCAGGGCACCTGCCTGAGTTGTGGGCCAGGTCCCCAGATAGGGGCCTTTTTCTCTCTCCCTTCCCTTCTCTAAAAATAAATAAAGTCTTTAAAAGAAATCCATAAGAGGAAATTTGTTTTTCCATATGTGGATTTTAGTATGTTGCCCTTCTTCCCCCTGGCATATTGTACTTGAATCCGTGGTTGTCTTACCGTTGCGCAGTGTGGTTTAATTGCATAGCAGGTTCATCTGTTTCAAGGGTGTTTAACTAGGTGTCTCTGTAACAGGAATCTTACCCATCGTCTTCACCGATATGGTTTGTGGACTCTGATGACCCAAATCTGACCTCAGTTCTGGAACGTCTGGAAGATACTAAGAACAACAGTTCGGTGAGAAAATAAGCCATTCTCCTTTCTGGTTTCCCTCATGAATGTTGCATGATAGAACTTAAATGTTAAGAGGTAATATGATGTAAAAAGCCTGATTAATGATTATTTGATAATCTTAGAGCAATTAGAGACCAGGTTTTTTAATTTGTTTTTGTTTTAGTACTTCACAATCTACTGCTTACTTCCTGGTTTCTCTTTTTTTATTCCCCATGAGGAATAGTCTTAATTTGCATCAGGAATTAGGTGTTCTCTTTCTCCATGAATTCTAGCCATTAATCAAGCAAGCATTTTTGGTAGGGACCACTGGCCAGGGAGGGGAGTGGGAAAAGGGAAAAGGGCGAAAGGTAGACATGAGGGCCGATAATGGCAACATGACGTCCACGCGTCCATTAGGGAATCACTGTTTCTCTCGGGAGTTGGAACTGCAGAGAGAGCCAAAAGTATGCACAGGAAGTTTTCACGCTTATAAATTATGTAACACCCATACACATGTATAAGAGAATGTAACTTTCCATTTAAAAATAATTTTCTTTGATTATAAAACTAATCAGTAACCTCTGTGAGAGAACTAGTAAAATTTTAAAAATGAGAAAAGAACAATCTTCCATAATATGTCAGCTTGCTGTAACTGTTGTTGACATGATGTATTTTTTCTTTCAGTATTTTTTCTTTGCTAGTAAAATACACATACTTTTATATATGTGTTTAAAGAATAGAGATCATGTTTTACATACTTTTATCATTTTTTAAAGTTAACATTATCATTGCATTTTCCCATGATGTCATAAAGTCCTTATAGAAAAATATTAGTCATTATTTGCAGGTGATGTGATTATTTACCTTAAAAAATTCAAAGGAATCAACTGAAAAACAATTTTTAAGATGACTGGTTAAAAGTGCTATTATATATAAATCAGTATTTCCCCCCAAATCAGCTATACTCAACTAGAAAATACAGTAGAAAAATATTTTGTTGACCATTACAATTAAATTTAAAAAATGAAATACTAGGAATAAACTTAAGTGTATCAAGAACATCACAGAGATGTGCCAAGTGAATGACTCAGTGTGGTCCTAGGTGGGCAGACTTCGTATTTTAAATCCGTTAATTCTCTCCAGAGCTCCATGTTAATTTATAAATTGAATGCAATTCCAGTAGAAAAATCAAACAGTCATAATTTTGAAACTTGAGAAAATGAATCTAACATTTGTTTTGAAGAGTAAATAATAAAAAATAATAATGAAGTTGGGAAAAAGCAATGGAGGGAGATTTGTTCAACTAGATAGGAGATGCAGCACCCAGTGCTGGCGCTGGATGGTGTGGGCAAAGGTGGTGGGGGTTTAGAAAGAGCCGTGCGATTGAGAACTTAGTGTAAGTTCAGTGGAGGTAAAGTGCTAAAGAAGGAGAGGACGGATTATTCTGTTAATTGTACTGGGAGAATTGACCATTTGGGGAGGTCAGAGTCTTATCTCAGATTTCTGTCAAAATATGTTATAAGTGTTTTAAACATACTTGTTCCTAAAATTGAGAACAGAAGAACACCAGTTTAAAGAGCATTTTCAAAGGAAAGGCTAGTCTGAGAGTGACGAAGGTTAGAGGTAAAAATGTGAAGTCAGAGGAAGTGTGTTCATCTCCAGCAGAGGGTGACAGGACAGGGAAGGAACGACGGCGCCCTCCCGGCTGCCTCCTTTTCTAAAGATCTAAAGTATAAGTTTTGTGATGGTATAAATGAGTGGGGTTGTTTTCCAGTGTCTGAAATATCCCATCAAAAAAATGCTCACAGCCCTGGCCAATGTGGCTCAGATGGCTGGGTGTCATCCTGCAAAGCTAAAGGTCGCTGGTTCAGTTCCCATTTGGGGCACATGCCTGCCTTGTGGTCCTCAGCTGGAGCACCTACAAGAAGTAACCCATCGATGTTTCTGTCCTTCTCTTTTACCTTCCCTTCCCCTCTCTAAAAATAGATAAACAAATTTTTAAAATTTGTTTTTAGAGAGGGGAAGGGAAGGAGCAAGAGAGGGAGAGAAACATCAATGTGTGGTTGCCTCACACACCTCCTACTGGGGACCTGGCCCAAAACCCAGGCATGTGCCCTGACTGGGAATTGAACCAGTGACCCTTTGGTTCGCAGGCTGGTGCTCAATCCATTGAGCCACACCAGCCAAAGCAAATAAAATCTATTTAAAAAATACCCATAAAATGAAATGACACAGGGTATAAAATTGGGCCTAATTTTATAAAAAAAAGTAAATATTTACTTAAAAGAACTGCCTCCCCCTACCCCACCCACCCCCCACCAAAACTTGCCCTCCATTCTTTCTTACGTCTCCTCCAGTTGTCTCATCACCTAGTTTACTGACAGAATACTCTGTCCTCACCCTCACTTCACTTAATTCATTAGCTTCTGGATTCTGCCTTCATTGTTGCACTAAAAGTGTTTAGCTGTAGCTGCTAAATCCAGTGGCTCTGTTTGCAGCCCTAATGCCGGCCTGTCTGTAGCGATGGGTGCTGGTGCTCGTTCCCTTGTTGAAACATTCCTCCATCCAGCACGTCTGACTTGATGCCCCCCGATAAAGAGCTGGTTAAACGAAAGCTACCACGTGTAGTTTTACAGTAGAATATTATGTTATAGTTAAAAATACTGCAGCCAGCCTTTTCACAAGAGCACATACAACCTTCCAAGATACTCTAAGTGGAAAAGCGAGGTGTAGGAGAGTGTCTGTAATCTGGCTGCTTTCGTATTCAATATTGAGGAAAATCTGTGTCTGTGCTGCTTTAGACGCACCTTTTCCCCCAGGTGAGTATGGGAAATGAATGCTAGCAGTAGAACACGGGAATTTTTTTTAATCAGCTGGTTTCTGTGCCAGGCTCTATGATCAGTGTGGGTAGAAAATTCAAGTCACATTCTGTCCTTCGGGACCTGATAACCAAAGGGTCAGGTCTCCTGTCTGTACCTCCTTCTACCTGCCTTGGTCTGGCCTTCTCTCACTCTGTGCTTCTTTGCGTCATCTCTCAAACTCCTGGCACTGAAACCATCACCTGCGTTCCTGGCATTCCTAAATCCGTGCCTCCGGCTAAAGTCTTTCTCCTGAGCGTCCAACCCTCATGTGTCTGGTATCACGTAGACTCAGCGACCCTCTCTGGGCTGTGCCATGGCTGCTGCTCAGCGTGATCCCAGCTGCCTGTAACCTCGCCTGCCCCTGCAGACCACCACGCGGTCATACTCCCCTCAGCGTTCTCTTTGGGACTGGGAGTAGGACAGGAGGAGATAAGGACACTGGTCTGTGTGCTGGAACCTGGGGCCTGGGAATGAGCTGAGAGTCCTTTTTATCCCAGTGTTTCTTGCCTCCACCCCGCCCCTGCCCCAGCTAACTAGGAAGTTTCTGAGACCTGTCTGGCTACCTTCTGATTGTTTCTTCAGTTTTTCCCCACGATCTTAGTTTCTGACACACCCCTCAGGCACTTTGGTGGGAAGCATAAAGTGCAAATTACTGGTAGAAGTACCTGTTTTTCCCATTGAGTGTGACTCTACCCCAGGCTGCCTGCCCCAGGACGCTCCTGCAGCTCTTCCTGCCCCCGGGCCTGGTGGTATGTTGGTGTCCAGGCCACATCCTTACTGTGCACTTAGTGCAAACCGGAGTGCACCGGGTGGGCGACAGATCCACTGTGGGGCTTTGTGGCCTTTCAAGCTTGGGGATACTTTTTATCCTCATTTTTAGCTCAGCTTTTCTCAATCCCACTTGTTCCATTGTCCACTTTGGAAAGACTTATTCTTTGCTTTGTTTAACCCTTTCTAATCTTGTGTCTATTTTCTTAGTCCTTCATAAAGCTGCTTCTTTTTCTCCATCTCTTTTCTTGGTCAGACACATCAAGGGGATCCTCCTGATCAAGGGGAGTAAGTTGTGCCTGACTAGCTACTGGTCAGATCTAGTGAGTGTGGACCACTCTTCTTAACCCGTAGCTGCTAAACTTATACTTTGAAAATGTTTTTTAAACAATGAATGAAAAACAATGCACATAAGTTACCTTGCTTAAAGTAAATATGCTCACAAAATAATATGGATATAAAAATGGACACTTGAACAGTGATTTTTTGCAGTTTTAGGTGGACACTTAAGAGGCTACTAAGTTCCAAGCGTTTTCACAGATTTCACTTAATCTTTACTGTGATGAGGTGGTTTGATTTTCTGCTTTTACAAATGGGGGACTCAGACCGAGGCAGTCAGGTTCTGTGCCCCAGGCCACCTCGATGCCACGGCTCTGCTGCCAGGCCGCACTGCCTCTGTGCCCGTACACGACGACTGTGGAGTCTATAATGTTACAACCCACGTGCAGCCAGAACGCCTCTGTGTTTTGTAGGCTCAGTAACATATCAATGTACTTGCCTGAAGTGACCAGTTTCCATGACACAAAGTTAGCAACTGAAAACTGGACAGCGTCTGGTTGCCTCCCGGTTACCTGTGCTGCCTCCCCTTCTTCTGCCTTTTTGCTGGTGTTGTTTTGCAGGGAGTCAGCTGTAGGGCCGCACTGAAGCCATAGTGACTTTCGTGCACTTGCAGCTCCTAACCCTGCCTCTTTAAACACTGCTAGTTTATCTGTAGGCTGTAATTGAGCAGTAAGAAACTTTTCCCATTTCCTACTGGACTGGTTACAGTAGTTGTAGTGTTATTATTGTTTCCGAAGGGCTCTTTGACATAATGCTTATTTACCGAAATGTGTTTTGTAGCTTCGTCAGCAATTGAAGTGGTTGATATGTGAACTCTGCAGATTATATAACCTTCCTAAGCACCTGGATGTTGAGATGCTAGATCAACCCCTCCCCACGGGTCAGGTAAAGTAAAATTTCTCTGATGATCAAGAGCTAAAATGAATTGTCTCAAGCAAAAGTAACACCTAGGATGCTTTTTTTTCTTTCATTTATTATACAACTTATTTAGAAGTTAGTTTTTGCTGTTGAATTCTTTTGGTTTTGTTGTAGGTACTAAAAATAACCTTTTCATTTCTTGCAGCTGCTGGTATGTACTATGACAGAGACAAAATTGCCCCCTCCCACCCCCTCCTCCTGTTGCTAATGCTCCTGGCTCCGTACCTGTGCTGCCTCCTCAGCACCGGCTGTGCTTTGTAAGGCAGCTTCACCCGAACGTGACCTCCTCCACGCAGGAGGTGCGGTATTAAGCAGTTATCGGGGTTGTAAGAATGCCTTCCTCGTGGTGATCCTGTACATCCTCTCCCACTTCTGTGAGCTTGCCCTCTCTCGCGAGGCCTTGGGTTGCGCCGCAGCAGTCTTGGGGCGCTGCTCCCCGAGCTGGCTGCACAGCTGTCATCTTGAAATTTTTCTTGTCCCCTCTGATCTGCTGTTTTCTGACCTTACGCCATCTTTCTTGGCTCACCTTTCACATTTCACCCTGGTTACATCTGCAAGTAAAAGCCCGAGAAAGCGTGACAGGGTCGTATGTTTTCTGAGTTCTAGAGTCTAAAAAACTGTGGCCAAACCACCATCAGTGTGACTTCTGTGACAGTGCGTGGAATTCCATGTGGGGATATAGCAGAGCTCGTGGCTTACGGGAGGAAGTTTCCTGATTGTGAACCATCCTTGCATTCCCGTAACGAACCCTCCACACCTGCATATTTGCGGGTGAGGGGGGCGCACACTGTGGATACATTCTGGTTTTGGGATTCTCTGCTTCAAGTGAGGCTGTAACACCGTTTTGTCTTTTGGTTTCCTTTTACGCTCTTGTTTCATCTCACTGTCAGGGTTACACAGTCTCACAAAATGACCTAAGGAGCTTTTTGTTTGTGTCTAAGCTCTGGGAGAGTTTAGATCAACTGTGGGAGCAAGTTTGCCTCCCAGGGGACATATGGACACGTCTGGAGGTATTTGTAGTTGTCACAGTTGGCTGAGTGGGGTGCTCGTGGCATTTTGTGGACAGAGGGGATGTTACTAAACATCCTGCAATCTCAGGATAGCCCGCACAGCAAAGAACTGTGTGGCCCCACATAGTTCCAAGGTTGAGAAACCCTGGTTTAAATAAATACCTGAGCCAGATCTGTTTTGCTCTTCTGTGTATGAGTTTGAATTTTCCATTTCTTCAGTCTGTTTTAGTGATTTTAGATTTGGAGAAGATGATCGCTTCCGCCGTGCTTTGAAGCTGTTGTAAAGATGTGTATTCACTTCTGCACCTTCCTCTGTGGTTATAATGGTGACAATCCCCTTTTCATTTCTAAAGTGGCTTCCCTCATCTGGATTGCAGAGGCTTGTCTGTTTTATTATATTGGCTTATTTTATTATTTTTTTAAAGAATCAGCCCTTTTGTTTTTTAATCTAACCCGTTTCTGTCTTTCTCACGGTTTGCTCCGGTCTTCGTGATTCCCTCGTCCAGCAGCTCAGATCGCTGTGCTTTACTCGCCTTTCAGCCAACGTGTGGGTGTGCACCGTCCTCTCGCGCTGCTGGGGCCCATCGCATGGGCTTCTCGTGTCAGGGCGCTGATCGTCCACACAGATGCGTTTCCTAAGCAGTTGGATTCCATCTTCTGCTTGTATATTTGTTATATTTCACAGGGGACAGTTTTTAGCCATGTGCACTGAAAACATGAACATAAGTTTGATGTAACAAATAGCGACACCTGTGGCTGCCACTGAGGTGAAGAAGCAGAAGCCTCATGCCACTCCTTCCCGTGTGTGGGGCCCCCTGACCCACCGTCTTGGGTTTTGTCGCCCGTATACGCCTCCCTGAACAGTGTGGTTTGGGGTTGCCTGCTTGGAGCTTCACATTAAGTCACACTGTGCACATGGTACAGGGGTTTGTGGGCTGTGGATGGAGAGTGTGCCTCGAATCCTCAGGGTCTGTTTTTGTCATCCATCTGACTCTGCGCAGTTCTCTGCCAGGGCTGGGGGCCCACGAGAACACACCCAGACACGGCTTCCATGTAAGTTCACACCTGAGTCCCTCCTGCACGCTTTACACTTTTACCTTCCAGCACCTGTTGTCACAGATGAAAACTCTGATGCCTGCCAGATTCTTAGGCTTCCTCTCTATTTTATTTTTTCTCTCTGGAAGTTGGTACAGATTTTTCTGTAACTGAAGTACAGGGTTTTACTTTCTGATATTCCTGTGGAACATTCAGAAGTCTTTCTGTAGCAGGGCAACATCTGTCTCTCTTACTCCTTTCCCTTTGTCTTCTGGATGGGTATTCGATCTCTATTCCAATCTTTTCCCTTCACTCTTATGCCCGTGTCTCTCCCCCTGCCCCATCTCCTTTTCCTCCCCTCTGAGGATATGTGGGGAATGTTCTGTTCATTCAGGTCTATTGTGCTTCTTGGCTGTTCTATGGAGTTTTATTTTTTGGAGGGTGGGGTGGAGTCTTTGATTTCTCAGAACTCTCTTGTTCTTTGCATAGTAATCTTTTTATAGCTTTTGGATGAGACATTTTCTCAATCACTACTAAATATTCCAATTAGATCTTTCAATTTTAGTGCCTTCATTAATGATGCTTCACATCAGTTGTTCTGCTTGTTCCACTTGGTGCCTTTCTTTCAGACTGCTAGTTTTCTTCAGATACCTGGCCATACTGGCGATTTGCTCATTTGCAGATGCGGCATACCATTGGTCAGTGTCAGTCATTGACACATGTCCTCAGCAGCCGTCACTCTGTTCTCCTGGTTGGCGCTCCTGTGCCCTGCCTGTGGCGGGGGGGCGGGGAGCTGCTGGCAGAGACGAGTCTGTTCCAAGATCTTGCTGCTGTGTTGAGTTACATTTAAAACTTCTGTCTTCTCTCTGATTCTGGCACCCACACAAGACGCCACCAGAGTAGGCCTCCTGTGCAGGAGAGTGATCCTGACCAGCAGTAGTTGGAACAAATACAGCAAGAAAATTCTGGGGGGTAATCCTACTAACTTTACGTATAGTGTCCCGGAGAAGTACACTCTGGTCCCGGAACTTGCACTTTTGAACTTGGCCTCTTCCTGTACGTGGGCCCTTCCTAAAGCCTCTCAGACCCACTGTGAACGAGTGGGCAGCTGTGTCCGTAAAGAAGTGTTCTTTGGTAGATAGCATGTTGTCAAAAGTGAAAACGGTTCTCTAGTGAAATGGTCATTTTACAGTTTTTAGTTTGGGGCAGTGTCTGTTTTGTTTTGACACATTTAACCTTTTAAAACGTAAGGCAGTTGAATTTATGGAATGATTCCGGCTTTTCAAAGTTGAAAAGGCAGATATTTTAAGGAATCGTGGTTTAGGGTATTTATTTCCAATGAAAGAAGCCATTGACCTTATATACATGGCTGTATGTGTAAAACGTTCTTTTCATTTTAAATTAGAATGTCTTTAAATTTTTTTCAAGTTACTTTATATTTGACTAATTGCCTTTGTTATTCCTAATACATCTATTAAGTTGAATTGTTCAAAAATGTTTCTTTTTAAAAAGCTGATAAATATTTGTCAAATCAAAGCTGGATTTAAAAGTCAATGTTTGTGTTGTAGTCAGTTCTTGGTGAGTGGGGCTGCAGCGACGGGTGCCCGAGGACCTTGGGGTGTGCTGTCGGCTCAGTGTCACCCTGCAAATTCTCCTTCCTTTTCAGAATGGGACAACAGAAGAAGTGACATCAGAAGAGGAGGAAGAGGAAGAGATGGGTGAAGTAGGTATTTTATATAAGAACAACATTTTATAAATATCTTCATTTTTTAAAACTTTACTAATTTCTCTAATCTCTTATAAACCAGCGTTAGTGTGGAATAATGAAAACCACAGAGTACTTGGAATTGATATAATTTCTAAAATCTGGTCTTACCTTTAATATATGCTTTTGAGCAAATTGCTTATCTGATGTCATAAATTTGACTTTCTGGAAAATAAGAGCTGTTAACATTTAGCACTAGAATTATATTTACATTTCATAGTAATCACTACTTAACTATATTTGGTTATTTTTAAGGAGAAGAACTACTAAGTGTCAGAAGTTCTGTGTTTGAATAAAAGACTTAGAAAACATTCAGGAACCACTCACTAGAAATGATGGAACTATCCCAGGTTGGAAAATCATCACATAATTTTGTGAGCAGATTCCAAAGGCATGGAGCTTAGGCTCGCGTCCTTGCTTGTCACTGACGGGATCTTTGGGGTTTTCCGGCTCGAAGCTCGTGCTTAAGGCTTCAGAGGAGTCAGCTTAGGGTGGATGAAAAGAAGACTTTGTAGGCAACTAATATGATGTGGTTAAAAGGGCCCAGAACTGCCCCGGGCATCGGTGCGTTTGGGGCACTGGACGCTGTCCTTCCGGGAGGAAAGATGGGTCAATGTGTTGGAGTCAAGGGGAAGCAAGGTCGGTTGGCTAGAAAAGGCAGATGGCCAGAAGTGTTGAATTTAAGACAAACTTTTGTCTATTTGGTATGATTGTTAATAGGAAGGCTTTACGTGGAGAATAGTGGGCTGAGAATATTGTTTTAAAAAGATGGTCATGATGAGTTTTGTTGTGAGCTGGTTAACACTCAGGTGCAGAGGGTCAGTGGGTAGGAATGTGGCTGGGGGTCGAGGGCAGGAGGAGCAGATTCAGGCTCCGGGCCTCTGTGGGAGCTCTGAAGACGAGCGTCCGATGGCAGAACGGGCGGAGAGGGCCAGACCAGGGGAGGGTCTGGGTGAGGACAGAACACAGTGGGGGGCGAGGGGGTGGAGGCCCAGGGGGAAGAGCGGTGGGTCTGGGTCCCAGTGGTCACTGACCCAGTCCAGACCCCGCAGTGAGTCGGTCTGCCGGAAAACACGGAGGCGGCAAGTGCAGTTCCCAGAACACGGTCTGAACAGTTACGGTTCTTGATATGTTGGTGCTAAACTGTTTCAAATCCCCTCTTCATAGCAGATGTAAAAGGCGGCTTATTTGCTAAGAGCTATTAAATGTGCTTTACTCAGATTCTAATGTAGTTTTAAGACAAAATGTAAGATACAAACAGAACGTTATAAATGGAATGTGAAGACCTCCCAACCAACACATGTGTTCACTCCTTTCTGTTCCCTCGAGTCAGGGATGATTTAACTTTTGGCACAAGTTTGAATGAGCTGCTGTGTTTCTGGTTTTCACAGGATATAGAAGACTTGGATCACTATGAGATGAAGGAAGAGGAGCCTATTAGTGGGAAGAAGTCAGAGGATGAAGGAATCGAAAAAGAAAACTTGGCAATACTAGAGAAAATTAGGAAGACTCAAAGGCAAGACCACCTGAACGTATGTGTGACCATCCAGACCCCGGACTTGCGTGCGCAGTAAAGTAACCCCGGGCGGTGGTGCGAGTGCGGGACGTCCGCCGGGGTGCCAGCCTCGGCCGCCCTTCCGCCTCCTGGCCCTGTCGGCGACTCGGCCGTGGGTTTGGTTGCCCTTGTGTCGTTGTTTATTTATTGATTTGTTTATGTACGTACGTGCGTTGGTCACCTGTTGATAGCCACTGTCCACCCTCTTCCTCCGCTTTCTGCAGCCTGGAATCCCCTCCTGCCTCTGCCCCTTTCCAGCTGTTTATGGTGCTGCCTCGCTTCCCCTCCCCGCACGGGGTCTGTGTATTTCAGTGAGTCTCTGCTCTCTGTGGCCCTGCCCGTCCGCTCTGTCCTGGCCGAACCAAAAGTAATTTTTTCTTTTAACATAATATCTCTGATACGAAGCAGCATGGGGAGTGAAATGAACACTTTGGCAGCAGACACCCCTGCATGGCTTCGGTGTCCTCAACTCTAAAATGTGGACCATGCGAACCTTTGGATGGTCGCTCTGAAGAGGAAATGAGATCGTGTCTTTAAAATGCTCAGAGTAGGCAAACACCAGTGAGGGTCCAGCTGTCTGTATGAACACCTCCTGTTTACTTAGTGCCCGGTATTAATTAGACTTATTTATTGACCCCATGAAACCCAAGGACCCTTCCTCCATTGCTCCAGTCTGTACGTTAGTCCAAACCACTGCGAGTCACCGCGCAGCTGCGCCTGGCAGAGCCTGCCGAGACGTCCCCGCAGAACCTGCCGCCACTGCGTGCAGAGTCCTTGCTGGTCTGCAGACGTGGCCCCGGGGTGAAGCCAGTTCAGTAAAGGATTCGGGGTCACCCATCTAGAAAGCAGTGGCTTTGTAACCCCGAACAACGAGTTGCGCAGCCACTGACATTTAGCATTTTATCTGAATATTTTTTTGAATCAAAAGGCATTCTACATGTTTTTTCTTGTGAGGAATGGTTCCATTCATGCTCAGTCTTAGGACAAGATATCGGTGCGTCTTCATTTTAGAGACATTCCAACACTGAAAAGAGCTGAAGCCAGTTGCGAGGAGCTGAAGCTGTTTCTCAGTTTCTTACCTTGCAAAGTAGACCTGCAGTGTGATGTTCCTGCTCATGGTGTGATGAGTGGGACTCAGGTGAGGGGCACTGCGCTCCCACCCTCCAGAAAGACCAAGATCCGGCCACTGACGGTGCCTGCTGCTGGGGGCACAGCGGGGTGCAGGCTCCTGGGAACACCGTGTGGCAGATTCCTACAAAACCGAACATAGTCTTTGCAAACGATCCAGTAGCTGTGCTCCTTCGTATTTACCCAAAAGAACTGAAAACTTACGTCTGCACAAAAACCTACATGCAGATGTTTATAACAATTTTATTCATAATTCCCAAAACTTGGGAGCACCCGAGGTATCATTTAGTTGGCCCGTGAATGTTGTGCAGTTCTGAAGAGAAATGAGCTGTCAAGACGTAAGGAGACAGAGAGGAAGCTTACTGCCGGGGAAAGAAGCCGACTGTGAAAAACCTTCTTCTGTAGGATCCCGGCTCTGTGGTGGTCTGGCAGAGGCGAAACTGTGGGGAGAGTAACACGATCAGTGGGCACAGGGTTTTTGGGGCGGGGGAAGGACGAATAGGGGGAGCACAGAGGATTTTTAGGGCCGTGGGACTACTCTGTGCACTGGATGGCGGGTGCATGTCAGCACCCATTTGTTCAGGCCCAGAGGGTACCCAGCGCCAGAAGGGCCCCCCGAGGTAAAAGCTGTGTGTCAGTGCAGCCGCACCAGCTGTGAGCAGCGTGCCCTCGGACGAGGCAGGCAGTGCGCCGCGGGGCGGTTCTGTGGGAAGCCTCTGTCTTCCTCTCAGTTTTGCTGTGAAGCTGAAACTGCTCTAAAAAATGGATTCTTAAATTAAAGTAAAAAGTGGCGGAATTTGAAGTAGACACATAGAGAGTGCTAGGCTATTGCAAAGGCCATGGCAATGTAGACATATAGGTTTGGCTTTTTTTTTCCCAGGTGCTAAGAATAGTAAATGAACCAATTCTATTGTCCTGTCGAAATTTCGTAATCTTCTATTTAATTTAATTAGCTTTTTTGGCTTGTTAAAATGTGAAGTGGTGATCCATGTAAAGAGTCTCATTGTAACGTTTATTTCGGGTTCCTGTACCAGAAATCCCGAGCCCCCGGCCTCCGCGGCCAGGTAAAGAGCGCGCTCTGTGTTTCAGGGCGCCGTGTCCGGGTCTGTGCAAGCCTCCGACAGGCTCATGAAGGAGCTCAGGGACATATACCGGTCGCAGAGCTACAAAGCAGGTGAGCGCCTCTGCGTGTCGCCGCCTCGGTCGTCCTCGAGCGCACTTCGGTTTCCCGGTAGTAAGCTTCATTCCTCACGCTAAAAACTGGGCAAAACCAGAGGTACCTACGAACGTCAGTCGAGGGGCGGGAAACACACCTGTGATCAGAGTCATCAGAAGCTGTGACTTCTGATGGGTAAAACAGGGTGAGCTTCTAGTAGCCCCCACCTGTGGTCTGAAAGTATTCAATGGAAAATTCCAGGAGTAATTCGGAAGTTTTAAATTGTACACACTGATCTGAGCAGTGCGATGAAACCTCGTACCGGCCCTCCGTCCAGCCCTGGGCCTGTAGCATCCCTTCGTCCCGCATGCCCACGCCAGGCACGCGTCCGGCCCTCTGCTCCCCTGGGGCCGTCCTGGTTGTCAGATGAGTGACGAGACGGACAGATGGAGCACCCATGTAACTCTTGTTGCAGCATAGTGCTGTAATTGTTCTGTGTTATTTTTACTTCTTGGGTTTTGTTTCTGTGCCTAGCTTATAAATTAAACTTTATCACAGGTAGGTACACACAGGAAGAATCAGCACATGTAGGGTTCGGTGCCGTCCGTGCTCAGGCACCCACTGGGGCCTCGGAATGCATGTCCTGTAGATAAGGGGGACACTGTCCTCGCTTTTTGGATCTTTAAACATTGTTTTTATGGATATACCATATCTTCTTGCTGATGGAGATTAACTCTTACGTGAAAAAGTGAAGGTCTTACTGCTTTGAAAAACTAAATAAGATGAAAATATTTTGTTTGAACCAAAATCTATTACCTAGTTGATTTTTTATTTATTATGGTTTCTTCAGAACAACACAATCAACCCTTATTGTAGAGATAGTTAATGGTACTACTTTGAAATGAGCTGTGTGTGTGTTTTCTCATTTCGTAGTGTGACTTAAGAGTGCTCTCTCTTACCCAGACAGGAAGGCTTACATGTTATAGAATTGTACAACTTGCACCTATATAATTTTTTTAACCAATGTAACCCCAATAAATTTTTTAAAAAAGACTTAATATTGTGGAATCTCTATAACTGAAGTAAAATTGTTACAGAGATTCTAAACAGTATTAAATAAGGGAAAGAGCCAAACTTTAATTTGTTTGAAATGTAGCATTATGATCCATTCAGAAATTCTCAGAGTAATTAAATGTACATTGTTAGACCTTACTTAAAAGAAAAACAAAAAACAAGCAAAAAACCCCCTCTGCTTTATAAAGTACAAGATAAGTCAAACTTGTCTCTGAGTTATTAGAAGGTTTGATGTACACTAATACTTTTCCTTACAAGAAGTCTGAAAGTTTATCTGTAAAAACCTAATAGCATATAGTTAAATATTTGAATAATGGCTTATTTTTAAAAGTTAAATAATCACTTGTCTTTACAGCATTGTTTGTAGTTGCAAAAAGTATGAAATAAATAATCAGATACAGGGTAGAATTGGTTAAATTTTGTTATGTCCATAAAATAAATTACTATAGAATTAGTAAGAAAATGGACAATAGATTTATATATATTAAGTTGGAAATATATGTCCCAGAAGTTGACGAAAGATGCTAAAACTGTGTATGTAGAGGGATTCCATTTTTATAGAAATGTTTGCATGTGCACAGACAAAAAGTCTTTTTTTTATATTTAATCTTTATAATATATTTTTCCATTACATTTAGGCCCCTCTCCCCCTAGCAATCACCACACTGTTGTCAACAAAAAGTCTTAAGTGCTCATGATTTCGCATAATTTTTTCTTCCCCTCACAGTTAATGGTAAATAGTTTCTCAATCGATAATTAAGCTTCTTCATTAATGGCTTTAATTACCTGTGAGGGGCATGAGATACTCAGCACCCTCCCAAAATATTTATGACACTCACAATGTAGCTTAGTTCTGTGTTGCAACAGCAGTATTTTTAGGTTTGGGGGGCGGGGAGGGACTATTTAGTGTATCATTTACACCAGAGCAATCGGTGCAAGAGCAAAGGAAGAGTAGCTAACACAGCTCCTGTCTTTGCAGGGATTTACTCCGTGGAACTCATCAACGACAGTTTGTATGACTGGCACGTGAAACTGCAGAAGTAAGTGGCATTTTTTTCTGTCGAGCCGCCCTTTGTAGTGGTGGTAACGGTAGACTCTCACTGTGGGGATTTTCCTTCTGAAGTTGATACCTTTATCACCATAGCTGTTCCTCAGGACATTAGACCCTGTTTCTGGATAGAGTTCAGGGTGTCAAAATGAGCTGTTTCTTAGGCTTTATGGTACATACAGTGAGAAAGGGAGGAGGAAAGGAGGACCAGCTGTGGGATGAAGTGTGTTCATGGAGTCAGTGGGACAGGCGGGGACTGGGACACTGACGCGTGGTTAGGGACCTGGGGAGCCTGCCTGTGATGGTCAGCTGTTTGCAGTCTCCACACGTGGGGTGGCCAAAAAGTCTGTGTGGCTTTCTCCATAAAATAAAGGATACAGTTTCCATTTCCACCAGTAACTTTATTGATTTCAATATTTTGAGTACGCTGGCTATGTTCTGCATGCTGTAATGTCGATTGTTCTCGATTACTGACTCAGTCTGGTTGCTCTCACCTTTAGCTGGTCTACCTGACCAGCCGTGCAGCATTATCCAGGGAGACACCTCCAACACGAAACTTCACAAACCACTCCTGACACATTTGATCAGTCACAGCACCTTCTCCATACACTGCACAGATCTTTTCTCACGTTTCAGTTGCATTTTCATACTTTCTTGAAATAATAAAGCATAATATGCTAAATATGTTACTTATTTTTTTCCATCTTCAGTATTAAAATGGCTGTACAAAAATTCACCAATTTTGATACGTTTTTTTTAAATACAAGCTGATATTAACAAAATTGTTTCTATTGGAACAAAAAATTGTTTCCAATGAGGTTGAAGACAACAATACAATGTAACACAATTTTTTGGAAAGAAGTTAAAGACAACTAAGCACTACTGGAGCCATCTTACCAAAAACAACCACAATAACAACAACAAACTTTTTGGCCAACCCAATATATGGAACATTTGTTAGAGATTTCACTTTTCTGGTCTGGGCCATGGTGAATTTATCTCCTGAACCCCTTTCCTAATAATGCAGTGTTAGAGAAAGAGATTAAACCTTTTGTTGAATCCCTGAGAAAATTCTGTACATATGATCATTTCCTCTAGAATGACTGCTAACTTTGAGTCCCCTTAGGAGACCAGATTTAGAGTACTGTGATCTTTGTTTGAACATTTAATCCCAAGGAGTTGGAGGCTACAGTACTTTGTTTTTCCATAGAACAGCTTTAGACCTTGTCTAAGGCTCTTGTTTTAATCCTCAGGGTTGATCCCGATAGTCCTTTGCACAGTGATCTTCAGATCTTAAAAGAAAAAGAAGGCATAGAATATATTTTGCTTAACTTCTCTTTTAAGGTAAGAAAATTGTGATGGGATGCCATATGCTTCTAGTGGGAATGTATATTTTTGTGCAGTTGCTTTGGCAAACAATCTGGTATCACTTGGTGTAGCCCCTGTGGCTCCCAAGTCTCTAGGTGCTCGCCCTGTAGTTAGGAGTGCCCCGGGGCACAGCAGCCCCCAGCAGGGAGGGGAGCTGTGGTCTTCCTGAAGCTGAATAGAGCTACGGGCCACCAGGTAGACCACTCAGAAATACAATGCTGAGCAACAGAAGCACATTTTGTGCAATGTCATGTATATGGAGCTCAAAAACAGGTCAAACTAAATTACATTGTTTAGGGCGGGCATTCTCAGTGGACACATTATCACCCCCTGGGATGGGGTGAAAATTGGCCCTTTGAGTGAAATAATCATAGATATTGCCATGGGGGTTTTAAATCTGTTGTTTTTAAAAAAACCTAGGAAGTGTTTCTAAGGAGTTGTGTTTGAATTATGTGGAGCTTCTTTCTGACCTGCTGTTTTAGATGGAGGAAAAACGTGTGCAACGATTGTCCTCCCGCTGACTTGAGCCGTCGGAAACGTGCTTTCTATTTTCCTCTCCTGTCAGGGTTGAATTTTCAGTTTGTAGGTTCCGCAGAATCTGATTTAAGGGTGGTCAGAGTTAGGGAGTGAAAGTAAGTTGCTGGAATTATGCTGCTGCTTCCCTCAGTTGAAACTGTTGTTGTGTTTTTTGGGAGTAACTGGGTGAAACTAATGCTTGCTTAGCTAGCTCCCTTTCCCTCCAGTTGCTTCTTTAAAATGCGTTAGTTGTTTCCTTATCCCCTTTTATTTGAACATAGAAATTGGGGTTAATTTCTTAGACTTGTAGACACACCTTTCACAGAGGGGATGTGCTGTCTGCCTGCCCCACGTCTGTTGGCAAGTGGCGGGAGACTGACCTCTGACCCTCGGCCTCCTCGGCTGCCACCTGTGCTTCGGTTCATTACTAGAAAAACTTCTTGTTCTTCTGTTTCCAGGACTCAAGACTTGTGTTTGGTAGCCTGGGAATTAGCTGCGTTTTCTTGTCCCTCATCTTCTCTTCCTATATTTGTATCAAGTCAGGTGATCTTTGCCGTTTAATTGGAGCACTCGGTCTGTTTGCAGTCAGTGTTCTGATCCCTGTGCTGAAACCCACCATCTCACAGACGCGTTCTGTGTCCTTCTCACTCCTTGCTCTTTTTCTCATTCTCTTGGGTATTTTTTTTATTACTCCAGTTTCCCAGCTCTGCTAGCGTGGTACTTACACAATCTTCTCTTCTGGGTTCTGCATACGAGAAGCCTTTTCAGTACATTCCTCTGTGTCTTGTTTTCTGCCTTTTTTATCTCTCTGGGCATTATTCTGGATGTTTTTTGTCCTGTTTTTCAGTACACCGAATTTCTCTCCTGCTGAGTCTCCACTCTGCTTAGACTCATCCATTAAGTTATTAATTTTAGTTACTGTATTCCCAAGTTCCAGAATTTGTGTATAGTTTATTTTTATAATTGTATTTCTCTGCCAGGATTTTCAGTTTTGTTTTGTTTTGTTTTGTTTTTTTTGCTTGCACATACAGAGCATTAGTTATTTTAGAATCTATGTCTGATAACTCTGTTATCTTGGCCCTTGGTGCTTTCGTGTCTGTTTCTTGCTTTGACCACGTTTAGTGGTGAGCATTGCATACAAAAGACTGGAGAGCTGAGCTGAGGCCTTGGATGACACGCCGCCCCAGAGAGGATGCACATCTGCCCCGTCAGGGGCTTGGGCACCAGCAGCCTAGGGTCGCTGAGGTGGTTGCGGGTTGAGATGTTGTAAAGCGGGGCCTCATTCTCGGTCCGCCAGGGGCCCTGCCACCGTGTGGGGGCCGGGCGAGGCCTGTCCTCGGTGGGCCCTGAGCTCCCAGTTTTACCGCCTTCCCAGTGAGTCTGAGAACCCCATTCAGCGTGTCAACCTGTTCCCTTCCTCTCCAGTAACGGAAAGAAAACCCAAGGGGTAAAAAAGGGTCCTGCTGTCTGGAGTTCCTTTTTCTTCTTGATCTTAGCTCTGCAGTGATTGACCCTTTGTCCACCTTTTCTAGTTCCCAGCCAGGGGACTGATCCAACATACCTCGTTGCTCCTCCGCGCGGCCGTGCTGGCAGGGGCCCTTTGTGTACATTTCCTAAGTTTACTAAAACACTGCTCTGTTTGGGCGTGATCCTAGCTTCATTTGTATTTGCTTTTGTTTTCATGCCATTTTATTTTTGGTACTATTTTTACTCTTATGACCCTCACTCATCATCAGACAACAAATATACATGTTCTTTATAGACTAAAATCTTCTAAATAACATAGTATTGAGGATGTTCTTAAAATTAATTAAACATGCTCATCTGCTTTTCAGGATAACTTTCCGTTTGACCCTCCATTTGTTCGAGTGGTGTTACCCGTTCTCTCCGGAGGGTGAGTTGCCGTGACTTTTCCGTGACAGTGAGCTACAGGGTCTTTGGGGGGCTAGTTAAGTGCCAGGGTGCCTGGAGCGTTCGGCTTTCCTGGCGTTTCTGACCAAGTAGCTCTGAGGTGAAGCTGATGTTGCTAATCTGGGACCGCAATTTCAGAACAAGTGGGATGAACCGTTATGTTCATTATGTCCAGGTACAGTTTTTAGTGGTGCCTGTTTGTATATATTTCATCATTAGAAACCAAACGCATGTAAAATATACATTGTAATGACTCTTCAGAGACAGTTAGGACTGGAGGAGACTCTAGGAGAAATTGCAGGCAACCTCACAGGCCTGTGGGCTGGCTGCCGACTTCCTTCTAAAGGCGGTGGTAACGGTCTGGCGGAATTGAATGGTGGCCGTGTGCATTTTCCCTGAACCCTGGGAAAGACCGGACTTTGTCCGAGGCTGGTTGTGAAGTGTCCTGTGGACCCTCAGAGTAGGAGCGACTGAGCTACTTGGGGAGTTCTGGGGCACTCAGCTGACCAGCTCCATTTTGGGAGATAATCCATTTATGAGTAAAGTCCAAAAATATTCGCTCTTTCCTTTGATCGCCTTTATGGCTGATATGGTTTTACTGAGATTAAAAAATGAGGGTGGCACCCTGGCCAGTAGCTCAGTCGGTCAGAGCACCGTCCCCGTATGCCAGGCTTGAGGGTCGGTCCCCCGGCTCACACAGCAGTCAGCCGGTGAGTGGGTCAGTGCGTGGGACACCCAACTGGTGTTTACCCTTCCCTAAAATCAATGAATAAAAAAATTAAGGAAACAAAAATGGGGAGGGAGCTGGAGGTGGAAGAGGGTGTAAGGAGGATAAATGGTAATGGGAAAAATACAGTAAAAACAAACTATTAAAAAATAAGAGTGGCTACAAATGATTAAGGCAAGGATTTGGAAAAATTGTGTAACTTCAGGATAAATGTATAGACATGCTTTTATCAGATCATTTTGAAATCTGATACAAACTTGGCCAGCATAGACTTTTCACATTTTTCTTGTGAGAAAGGAGAAAACGATTAAGAATTTATGTTCTTACACAGTTTACCGCCTGGTTGTGGAGACACACACACAGAGGCAGGAAGGTGGCCGTCCCTCCGGCACCACGGGGGTGGCTCCGGGGCGCCCGCGGGCCCTGAACTGCGGGGATGCTCAGGTTCCTCACACAGTCCTGCCGCCCTGACGGCAGTTTCTGTTTGTCTGTTTTCTTCTGGTCTTCCCATGTATGTGTGTGTTCTTACTAATGGTACTTCGAACATTAAGAAGGGATGCTGAAACCTAGAGAATTCTGTGTGATTCCTGTTTTCTTTTAAGGTACGTGTTGGGTGGCGGTGCGTTATGTATGGAGCTTCTCACAAAACAGGTGAGTCTCTTCATGTGGTTCTCGTGGCTTCCAGCCTCCATGGTGTTTTGTTTGTGTAAAGTAGATTCTGAGTGGAAAAGCCCTGTTGCAACAGCACTTACTTTAAAATTTTTTTAAGTTTTCTTTTAATAGCAGCCGCATTTACTAATGAGAAAGCTATGTCGGGTAGGGCAATAAAATGACATTGTACTTGGTTTTGTTATCCCTAGGATAGGAAGTAAGTAATATTTAAGGTTATAGTTTGCTCATGTTTGCATTTAAAATGTAGGGTTTTTTTGACTGTGAGATTTTGGAAATCATTCGATTTTTCTTTTACTTCTTGACTACAAACGTCTTCATACTCATTTGCTGTTGTTGAGTTGTTTTATGCCACTTTGTGAAGCTTTCCCAAGCGGGAGGCAGGAAGCTGCTGCGGGAGCTGCTGTGTGTTAGAGAAGGTTTTTGTCTTCCCTCAGGGCTGGAGCAGTGCCTACTCGATAGAGTCAGTCATCATGCAGATCAACGCCACCCTAGTCAAAGGCAAAGCCAGAGTGCAGTTTGGAGCAAATAAGGTACTTTTGTTAAGAATGTCATGCCATCTGTAAGATCTACTTCCTGTTATCGCATGAGGCTTTTTCCTGTTCTTTTAGTCTTTGTTATTTTTACTACAGATAAATATACGTATAATTTTAATTGTTATTGGTATGTATATACTAATAAGTAAAACATTATATGCACTTTGAAGTTTCCCCCAATTGAGATCATGTTACAATAGTTAATTCCCAGTGAGCATTTATGTGCTATGCTCTCATCCAAACTTTTTACTTGTATTAACTCTTTCAATCCTCTTAATAACCCAAAAGTAGGTGTACTCTTTCTCTCCTCACAGTGTAGATGAGGACATGGAAGCCCACAGGGCTCAGGTACCTCACCTCTGGTGACAGACAGCCCCACGGCAGTGTCTGCTTTTAACCGCTGAGCCCGCCCCCCACGTCTGGTGCACGCTGGAAGCACCTTCCCGTGTTTCACTGTCGTCACTTGCAGACACGCGAGTGGGCCAAGGATGGGCTCTGAAGTCACCGTGTTTCAGAAAAATGTTTGTGGGATGGAAATCATTCAGACCTAACATGAAAAAAAATTGGCTGTTTCTAAAGTTCTATGCGAATATTTTGTTCCATGTCAATTCAAAAAATGATAAATCTAAATATGTATACAACCATGTTGTACGTCAGACCATGGGTCCACTAGACTCCCAACGCACAGAGGAAGCAAAAATTTAAAAAGGCTGTTTTTAAAAATCATTTATTTGGGATAAAATAATAAAATAACTGATTTTTACTTTCAGCTCTTTCAACAGCCCTTTCTTTACACTGGAACAAAATGCCATTTTGTATAAAATCTGTTATTTATTGAACACTAGTGAATTATGATTGCTTAACTACTTTTAACTAGTATGTCTTAGATGATTTAAATGTGACAACAGGATGCTTATGTAATATGGCACCAAATTTTATTTTCCTATGCTCACTGTACAGTTTCTAAAGTAGAAAACATACAAAAATCTTAAGTCATCTGTAAGTTGACTATCTAGAAATACTGTTGATATTTTGCTATGCTTCTAGTCTTTAACATTTTCTTCCTGGCATTTATTTATAAGTAACACTTGATGTTAAATTTAATCATGTTTTTTAAAAAAATTCACAGTATTGTTTTCCTGAAAGAGAAAATAGAAAAGGTTTAAAACAGTGATCATTTTGAGTGATTGAGAGAACATTTTACCAATAACTTGCTGTGTAAACTGACCTCTCTGGGCTTTTGTATTTTGACCTGAAATACAGCTGGTCTGGATATGTTAATTCTCTTCCAGTTTTATAATTCTGTACCAGTACTCTGCCTTTGCTTATAAGTCCTCCTGGAATCAGTCAATGCCAAATAATTGCTTTAACCTTCTACATTTCCATGATTTGTAGTTTTCTTAGCAAATAAATATGACCATTTTGCACAGAATGTTATCAAGCAGCTAAAAACTGTTTACATATTAAACAAATATGCAAGTAAGACAATGTAAATATGCATTGTCTCAGCAGGTAAATTTCTTTGAATGAATTGTTTTGATTAAACTTTACTCTTTCTTTTTTTTATTAAGAAATATTCATCAGTTAAGAATATGGACACTTTGCTTGATATGAGTTTAACCTTCCAGGATTCTTAAGTTAGCAGGGAATAATCTGAGTGTTAACTTTTAAAATACTCTCAAAATGTAAGGTGCCAAATGTGTTTAGAAATATGCTACCATTTGTGTGTGTGAGAGAGAGACAGAGACGAGGCTGCAGGCTCGCACAGACGTGCTTTTGAAAGTCAGAGCATCTCTGGAAGGGCTCTCAGCGAAGTGCTGAGAACTCTTGTTTCTGACGGAGGGCATACTGAAATACTGGGGGGTGAAGTGGGCGAGAGATGGGAGGCTTTATTTACTATAAATCACATGTACTCTTTGAATTTCTTCTTGCCATGTTACTATTACTTCAAAAGTATTTAAAATATTTTAAAAGCTACTATCCTCTATTGGCTGAAAGTAAATGAAAGAGTTTGTCCCCCCAAAATATTACTAAAATTATATAAATATACTTAAGTACTGGAAAACAGAAAAGTTGTCCATCAGCACACCTGAAATTTGGAGACAGCGTCCGGCTGTTGGAGCTGAGGCTTTGCAGCTCTGTGCAGGCAAGACTGCAGTCTGGGCGTTGGCTCCTGGGCTCAGCTCACAGGAGCCGAGGGCATGCCACAGGCAGGACGCAGCTGGCCAGGTTGGTTTTCTGTTCAGTCAACACGAAATTTAGCTTGTAAAAAAGCTGAATGTTTTCTGGTCTGAAGGTAATATTTTATCGGGCTTGATTTTTGGATACACGTTAGAAGGAAGAGTCTGAGTCCCACTTAGGTCCCAGCAGCATCCTGTAACTCACTGCACGCACGTGGACAGACACTGGGTCGACAAGCGTCTTTCTGCGCTGTGTGGGGGGCAGGGCTTACACCGACGGAACGAGAAGCTGTGGGTTTTCATTGGAGTGCAGTGGGGGTTTTGTTGTGCTTCTAAAAGGGGAGAGCATAATGCAAATGAGAAATGAGGGTATTCAGTGAAAAATCTTTTTGAAATGGAATAAAATTCTGTCCTGTGTTCTTTTAAGCACAGTGGTAACACATCCATAAATTATTTTTCATGATTTTCATCTACTTAGAGTTTTGATTTAAAATGTATAATTCTCTTTCAGAATCAATATAATCTAGCAAGAGCCCAACAATCTTATAATTCCATTGTACAGATACACGAGAAAAATGGTATGTTTAATTCAATACGTATTTATTGCCATTTATGAAGTTTTACTGTTGATATTTATCCTGTTTTATTTTGTTTTTGCTTTAATTTCTTATACAGTACAGTTACCACAGTCAAAAAATTTAGCTTGAGGATACGCACACTGTGCTTCATTCAAAGTCTTGGGGTCCTCAACACTTGGCTTGAGACCCCTGAGTGAGAATGAAGATTTTTGAGCAGATTGGTGAAAGAATCGCTTATCCACTTGAAATGTGTGGTGTTAGCACAGGGACTGAGCAGTTAGCTTGTTGAGGCAGCTCTGCAAGGGGCGTTCTTGTTCATGCTGAGGGCGTGCCGTCCCGGGTCCTGAGCCCGCTGTTTCCGAAACACCTTCAGACGATAGACGATGGAAAGGTTTTGACAGCTGTACATATTTACCCATTGAAGTTAAGTTTTGATTTCTGTGTCCACTTAGGAGTGTGTGACTTGCATATTTTTTAAAAAATGCTGAAATATCTTCCATAAGGTTCATCAGCCTTCCCCACATTTTGCTTGTGTTCACAACGCTCGCTTTGAGTTTTTGTCTCTAACAGCGACGTGATAAAAGGCGACTTGGAATCAGCAGACCTATTTTCAGTGACGTTTGTGTCACTCACTAGCTCTGGGGCCCTGAGCAAGTCCTGTTACCCCTCCACCTCAGGTTCCCCTCTCTCAAACGGGCACGATGTCTGTCTTGCCAAACTTGTGAGGGGAGAAAAGCACGCACAGCACGTCGTAGCATAGTGCTGGGAAGATCCTGATCGCAGTCGTGCTGGTGACAGTGAGGCTTCTTGGGTGCAGAGTAAACAAATTAATGGAAATACAGAGAAGTTTTCTTTAAGGGAGCATTTACAGGACTGTAACTATTCTTTACTTTGCTAGAAATGGAGTAGCTTATGACCTAACAGCAGTGCTTTGTGCTCACTTGTATTTTCACGGCAAAGGAAACTTGTTGCTTTTCCAGTGAGCGCTCACTTCTGAAGGAACCGCACAGGCGGAGCTGGGGGCGTTTGGGGTCTGGTTCTGGACTCTTTTTGCTGTGAAGCATAGCACACTGGGATATGCCTGCATTCCAAACAGTGCTCAGGTTTCTGAAGAGGGGAGTGAGCAAACCTGAGGCTCAGACTGGATTTTCACAACAATCTCCTCCAGTCCCCTGACTCAGTAGAGGCAGAATGCCCGTGACCTGCTGCATAGCCATGTGGCTGCACCGCAGACCACGATGTACCTGCGCTGTTGCAGGGCCGTTGCCCAGAGCTTAGATTATGGTTGAGTCTGGGAACAAGCATATTTTTTCTTTTTAAAATTTAAAAAGATTTTATTTTTAGAGAAAGAGAAGGAAGTGAGAAACAGAGGATAGAAAAACACTAATGTGTGAGAGATACATCAATCGATTGCCTCTTGCACGCCCCCAGCGAGGACTTGGCCTGAAACCCAGGCACGTGCCCTGGCCGGAAACTGAACTGGCGACCTTTCAGTTCACAGGCTGGCACTCAATCCACTGCACCACACCAGCAAAGGCAGAATCATACTTTTTTCTTATTTTTAAAAATTGATTGATTGATTTCCAAAGCAACACTGTAGTAAGCATTCAAAAATGGTTACAGACTGTGCTGTATTTGGGAAAGTGTGGGTGAGTGTAGTCAGCTATGTGAAAGATTCAGAATCAGGGATGGACTGTAGTTTGGCTTCTGCTGCTGACGGGTCTTGGGCACAGTCACCAGTGCACCTGCTGCGGTGGCCTCCTCACTGGCGAGGTGCCAGTGTGGCACTGAGGGCATTCTGAGTTCTCTCGAAATGCCAGGATTTTGTTTGGGCACAGGTTGTTTTCACTGAGGTTTTCTTTTAAATTCAGAATCTAAATGGAATATGAAACCCAGCTTGTAGTCTAATGTTCCACACTCATCTTCAGCCAGAGATGCTCTTAATATAGAGATCTTGTGTGGAAAACTCAAGTATAGTTTATTCATAGAAAATAACTTTAGACAGTCTCCCACTTACAATTTTTAGACTTATGGTTTTTTTACTTTATGATGCTGTGGAAGTTATACACATTTATAGAAACTGTATTTTGGATTTGAATCCTAATCTTTCCTGGGCGAGCGGTATGTGGTGCGAAACTCCTTCGTGATGCTGCACGGCAGCCACCCAGGCAGGGATGACGGCAGGGCACCACCAGTGCCCCAGTGTGCCCTCACTGCTTGAAATACTTCCGCCCCCTGTAGGCTGGTGTGCTCCCGACAGCACCCCCCCACTCGCCCCACCCTCCCCACCCCCGTCAGTCCAGAGCATCTGTATTGTAAATGCATCAAATGCTGTGTTACCAACACCAGTGTGAGTTTAATTTTTACAGTAGGTTTAAACATGAAAATTATCAGTAGGTAAAGTAGCTAACCTTAACAAAATGCCTTGACTCCTAGTTAGTTTAAGAATTAAGTATTTTAATTTCTTTTCCATTCTATTTCAGGCTGGTACACCCCCCCGAAGGAAGATGGCTAAGTGTACTGACTGCCGTGTGTTTGGACCAATGTTGCTTTAAAGAAAATCTTTCCAACGAGCAGACAAGCTTTGGGTGCCCCCATAACAGCCGTACTGAAGACGTTAGCTCATAGATATTTTAGTGGATAATCTGTCAACTGACATCCTATATAAGTTATAGCCTTCTCATTTTGCTCATTTTATTCTCTTGGACTGAGCAGTGGGGCTTCACTGTATTTTTCCTGATAAATACACACACTGGCTACTCCTGATCATCTCTTTTTCTTAAACAATGAAATCTGTTAAGCAGGCAGCCAGCATCAGGTAACTGAAGCTGTGACTTTAGGGTAACTTTTCCATAATGAGCGCCTGTGTTACTAGGACTTGCAGTATGTTGTTCCATTCAGAGCCAATAAAGGTCTATTTGCTGTTTAATATTGGTTTAGAAAATTTAAGGTCTTCTACATCATAGTAGCCTTTTCAGATTAAAACCACTTTATAATATTGCCAAAATAATGATAGGAAACCTACTCAATAAATTGTTAAATGTTTTTATGGCCACGTGAAGATATGAGCTGTTTCCCGAAGATATGCTCTTACCTGAGTTGCACTGTACTTCTCAGGCAAAGTGAAGCAGGGCTGGGCCAAGTAAGCAAGTAAGGCCTGCAGCAGTGACTTCCACTGGGGCACCGCTGTCTTGCTGGGCTGAATCTGTTTATTGGTTCAGTATGTCTTCTGAAGATCTGCAGTATAGATCTTGAAGTTATTTAAAATACTAAGTCATTTTACATTTCCATTTTATTAACGGGATGTTGCAATCATTTGTAAACTAATAAATTTTTAAAGTGATTGGCACACAGACTTCTTGAACAAAAGCTGCACACTGAAGTACAAAAAGACACCTAATTTGGAGACTTAAAATTTTTGCTATAATCATAACAATGGCTTTTACTTAAAGACTAATAGGAACTCTACACATGTTAGTTCTTTTTATAAAACCTGACTCAAATCAGTATACCCTCCATTTTATTGCCTTACCTGAATCAGTCCTCTTTGATTGGTAATCGATTTTTGTATACCCACATTTGATTTAAAAGTAACTTCTAGTTATTAAGCACTTTTAAAATGAAATTTAGAAGCACACTTTTCTGCACAAACCAGTTACAAAGTTGAAAAGTGTTTCTTATGCATTTGCTTTGAGATGCAGTTTTTAACTTTGTAAACCACATTGGAGAGACTTGGCACTTCTGCATGGTGTGGTTGAGAGGACAGCAGAAAGAGAGTTCCTGGAGTTCTTGTTCACGTGGTTACAGTTCTGATTGACAGTTGCTCAGACAAGTGACAAGGCAGGATTCTTTAAAGCATTACAGTTCCTTAAACCTAAGGCTAAATCTTGAATACATTATGGAATTCTTTAATATCCGGATGGCTAACAGATTGACAGCTGCACATTTGGCATGCTTTGGGTTTTGTTTTTTTTTTTTGGAGTTTATTTTTCATTGCAGATTTATTTGGCAATGTACAGTAAATTTTGTAAACTTGCATCAAGTTTATGAATAAAGAATCATTTAAAAAATAACTCTGTCATTTTCCCCTCATGAGAAATACTGTTAGCTTCAGGTGTCTGTAGGTTCTATTGAGTTTCTAGAATAGGATTCTATATGGTGCGGTGGGGTGAGGAGAGACTTGAGGGGAGGAGAGCAGGTTGATTAAACCAGAGAAAGCTAGAGACCCCAGAAATGGTGTGTACGGACATTGCATACTCAGGTCTTCCTCAACCTTTTCCCTCTCCCACACTCATTCTGTAATAGAAATTCTTCGTGGCTGTCCCTAGGTCCCCCAGTACAATATTCTGCTCCCTCTGGACCCGTAGCCTCCTTCACACAGTTGTCAACTTACCTCACAAGAAGTCCAGAGGTGGGAAAGCTCCAGGCACTGCGTCTCTGAGATTTTTCTGTGTAGGTTTCACTCTTGAATTGGAAGTTACGTCTGGACGTGCAGCCACGCTACTACATCCAGAGGTACATAATGGTGCTGCCTTCCAGTGTCTCCTTAGGCCGTGGGGAATCTTTAGAAGCCCCTGATTTGCCCTGCCCCCCCCCCCCCAGCGTGCTGCCCCTCATTTTTCCGTTCGTGGCACTGGTGCCACCCTTAATGTCTGGTGAAAAGCATGAAAGTGTCGAGATTATTTGGGACTAGTGGCTCTCAACATGTGATTTGGGGAACCCTGGGGACCCCGTGAGACCCTTTTAGGAGATTTTGAAGGTCAAAATTCTTTTGCTGAGACTAAAAACATTATTTGGCACTTTCAGTCTCATTTTCTCGCAAGCGTACAGTGGAGTTTTCCAGAGGCCCCGTGACGTGACATTGCCACAGACTACTCGGAAGCCGATCAGCTGCCTTCTATTAAGCCAGAAATTAGAGGTTTGCAAAATGTAAACATGGCACTATTCACTATTGGGGGGGGTTGGGGGAGTTATTTTTTTATGACGTTATTAATGTGCAATGGATTTATTACCTAATATTAAAATCTTTTACTATGGAACATATTAGCAGACATAACCCACATAAACAAGGTCTTTGGGGTCGTCAATATGTAAGGAGTTCTGAGGCCAGAATGTTTGAGACCCACTCGTGTAGACCAGTTATTGGGGATGGAGCCAGGGCTTCGCCAGCAGGGGAACAGCGGCGGTGGAGGTCGGGGCCAGGCGCGTCTGCTGTGCTAGTTTTCCCGCACCCGCCCGTGGTTTCCAGCCTGAGTCTGCCTCGGACTCTGGCGGGGCGGGGCGGGGGGGGGGGGTGGGGGGCGGCCCGCGGAGCGCGGAGCGCTGAGCGCCGCAGTCCTGGGGTGGAGAACGCCAGACGCCCCGCTGCGGCGGCGCGGGGACTGCGTGCGGTTGGTTGTCCAGCCGGGCCACGCGCGGACGGGTGCGCGCAGACACCGCCCGTTGGAGCGCTGGGCTCGCGCGGTACTAACAGGCGTGGGAGGGCACCTATTATCGCTGCCTTCAGAGACTCGTGAGCTAGAGAAAGAGGCGGCGGCTGCGCGCGGGAGGCCCAGCGTGCGGGACCGGCTGCGGATCTGACAGCTTCCGGGAGGGCTACGACCCGAGGGCCCACGCCGGAAGTCTGCTGCCAGAAGCCCCAGGCACCGGAAGTGGCGTGCGCGCCTGCGCAGAGTGCGCTGGCTGGGAGCTGGTGCGGCTTCCCAAGCCCCCGGGGCGGTGGTCCTGCTGCCCGGACAGGCGGGGAGGAATGGAGCGGGTGGACGGCGGCGGCGGCGCCGATCGCGGCGCCTCAGCAGACCCACGGAGCGCCTTCGTGCTGAGTAACCTGGCGGAAGTGGTGGAGCGAGTGCTCACCTTCCTGCCTGCCAAGGCGCTGCTGCGGGTGGCCGGGTGAGGAGAGGCGCGGGCTGGCCGGGGTTTGCCCCGCAGGGTGCGAGCGTGGGCGGGGTCGGGCGGTGGCCGGGAGGGAAGGACTCCCGCTCACAGCCCTTTGTGGTCGCGCCCCCAGCGTGAGCCGCCTGTGGAGGGAGAGCGCGCGCAGGGTGCTGCGGGCCCAGCGCGGGGTGGCCTGGATCGCGGCGGGCCCGGCGGACAGCGGCCACCCGCAGGAGCACTGCCTGGTCCGCGTGGCAGCCCGGGAGCTCGAGGCAAGTGAGACGGGTGGGTGGGTCAGCCTTGGAGAGGTCGGTCTGCTTTGATCCCAGTTTCGTGCATGGGCTTTATTTGTATAGATTAGGGAGCACTTTCTCATGTCCCGGAAAGACTGGAAATGTCAGGTTTCACGCCTGTGTATTGTAAGGATGTGCCATGATTGTATTTGATCAGTCCTCTAATGTTGGGCACTTTATGGATCCAGATTTTTACTATTGTGATAAGAGGTACTATGCAGAACCTTTCCTTTACCTGCTTCCGTCAAAGCTTTTATTGTCACTGCTTTGCAGGAAAGGCAACTAGGTCTCTTTAGCTTAGTGTCACGTAAAAAGGCCAAGAACTAATCTTGAACCCAAATATTTCAAACCCTAATGCTGTTCTCTTTTGTGGTGTATCTCTGGGCCCCACTTTTGAAAGATGGGCATCACCTGGGCAGGTGAAAACTTGAACTGAGGGGTCAGAGAGGCAGCCTCCTTAGCACAGGTGACAGTGAGGCTGTGGTATCTCACTGGGCAGTGGGAGGAGCCACTGGAGAGGGATTTGCCAACCCCGAGCTCTTTCATTTCCCTAGACTTGAGCTTGAATTACCCACAAACACGGAGGTAGCATGGCCACCACCTGACTCCAACAGTAAAGTCGGGGAGTTACCACTGGTGCCTTCCTACTGTCTGAGCCTCCTATTCCATGCACATTTTGCCAGTCTTCCCAGTGACGTCCTTCAAAGCAAAAGGACTCAGTTTACAATTTTATGTTGCATTTATTTGTCCTATTTCTTAAGTCTTTGATCTGGAACTGTTTCTCCAGCTTTCCTTGACTTCCACAACTTTGACACAGGCCAGTTAGTTTGTAAAGCGTATGATGTATTTTAGGTTTGGATTACGTACCTCTGGCCATAATATTCCAAGCAATGCTGTTGTTGTCGCAGCCTACTAGCCATCATATGGTTTCCATTGGGCCCATCTCTGGTGATAGTACCTTTGATTTTTTTCCTAATATGGTGTCAGCCAGGTGTCGCTGCTGTAAAATTACTCTTTTCTACTGTAGTAAATATTTGGTGGGGAGATACTTTGAAACTATGTTAGTATCCTTTTTCATTGTATTCATTTATTTACTTCTGTGTAGCCTCTTAGTCTCTTATTAACTTTTTTATTTAAAAATATTCTAAATGTCCACTAAAATTTTTATGGAACATCTTGCCATTTGGAACTTTTCTGAATAATGGAACCGGGTTCTAGTTGTCTTCCCTCTGTGCTATGAGAACATCTCTTGGAGAGGATTGTCATTGCCGAGGCTTCTGGTGAGAACTGGGAAGGGCAATTCAACTGCTCTTTAGCGGGTACCAGAAAAGAGAGAATTATAAAACCTCAGCACCAGACCTCCAGCCTTTAAGAATAGGGAGCCTAAGTCCTGAACACTTTCCAGGGTCATTGTGTGGGTTTATGGCAGTCAGCATGAATGCCTAAATCTTTTAAAATTTCTCTCCTTTCCTGTCTGCAGCAGGCACTACAAACTCAAATGGCTCCAAAGTTAGGCAGGTGTCTCTGGTCAGCCAGGTGTCTCCGTGTGACAGTGGAGGGAGCTTGCCTCTGTGCAGCCCCGGTCAAGGGGAATGCACAGGGTCTGTGGCCAGAACGTCCAGTTCTTCAGAAGAGTCTGGAACTCCACATGTCATGTGAATGTGTTGTGGAAGTTGAAATGTTGGCAACGACGTTGCATTCTGGGAAGATGCCTTGTGTACCAGGGACACTGTATCCCTGTGTCTTACCCCGCCCTGAGGCCACCACAGCAGCATCACTGTGTCACAGTGTCTTTCATGAGTTTGTCTCAATGGAATCTAATACGAGGCATCTTCATGCACCCTCAAAATATAATGGATCAGCATTTTCCGTGCAATTAACATCGAGACTTAGTTATATGGTAACTACCTCATTTCCATCGTGATAGTCAAATGTCTTTGAAAATAACCAGCTCAGAAGGAAACATATATTCACCCTTTTCATTTAATTCAGCCGCTTTTTCGCTTTGCCGCTGTCTGTGAGGTTTAGTGGGAAGCATGAGCTTGAACACACCCAGCTCCTCAGTGGCGCATTGCTGGGATGTAAGCATACGGCTCAGGAGGTCCAGTGCTGGGGGGCCAAGGAAAGGGCTTAGTGGAAGAGGAGGCACGTAAGCTGTGTCTTGGGGGACAGAATATTAAATCAAGTGGGAAAGGAAAAGAGCTACAGGAGAATATATATACAGCAGATTGTGTGTGTGTGTGTGTGTGTGTGTGTGTGTGTGAGTGAGAGAGAGAGCGATCATAAGCAAAAGTCCCCTGTAGGAACATGGCTGGAGTGAAGGAATATTTAATTTGATGGGCAAGGCGATGAGTACTGTGAACATTGGCACCTTCCCTGTGTTGCCAGATCTGTTTCTGTTACTGCAATGCCTGTTCAGGTAAAGTCAGGGGCTTTTTTTTCTGGTACTTATTTGCTTAAGAGCTTACATTATTATGAAAATAAACTTCTTTAGTGAGTCTGGAATGAGTTTGGCTTGAAGAAAGAATAGATGTTTAACAAATAAATGAACTGAAAAGGAAAGAGTGGGAGTGAGACATTGAGAAGTGGAGGGACTCAGAATAGGCTGGCCTTGACCTGAAGGAGGGCGGGGCAGCCGCTGGGTGGACCCTGAGAGACTCCCAGGGACCTCAGACTCCCAGGGACCGCAGATGCACTCGTGGATTCCTGTGATCTAATTCCAGCTACTCTTCTCTTTGCAGAATGTTCACATCTTACCACAGACGGTTCTTTACATGGCTGATTCTGACACCTTCATTAGCCTGGAAGAGTGTCGAGGCCACAAGAGAGGCAAGTATCAAAAGAAAAAGTTTTGGGTGTTTTTGTTTCCTTCTGTACCATCCGTTTGACGTTAAATACGGTCCCCGTCCTGAGGGTGACTCTCTGAGGCCCTGGGCCTCCCCTCTGCAGAACGCAGGGCTGCGTTGTCTCTGAAGCTTGAAGAGCTCCTTTTTCTTCAGGGGTTGGCTCCTGAACCTTGCAGCACAATTGAAACGGTTTCTTTAGAAAGGTATTTTTCTCACTTTGAAATACTTTCCTCCTCCAGGCCCTTCTTTTTATTATTAAAACAGGATGTGTATCTCTGGCTATTCTCGCCTTTCTTGGCGGAGGATGATGGGGACCTGCTCACTGCAGTCATTGGACTGAGGCAGTGGGTAATCCTCCAACTGGACCCCAGGGGGCTGTGTTTGCGGCTTTAATCACAGCTGACCAGAGAGGCACGATAGCAAGTCTAAAATTTCGCTGCTGTAGCAGAGTTTGACATCCCTGGAGCAAAGGCTGTATGTGAAGAAAGCAGAAAGGCCAGCTGGTGGTGCTACCAGGTCAAGTTTAGGATTAAAATGTAAAACAGGCCGAAAACAGGAGCCCAGTTGTTTTCCTCAAAGTTTTTAAACTTCCGCCGTATGGAGCGTTCCGGTGTAAAGTGACGTACACTTTGTTCAGTGCCTGCCTTTCCCGCCGCACCCTCAGCTGTGCGCTTGCCCGGGTGACAGCTGACACTGTCGCGCTGTGTCCTTACAGCGAGGAAGAGAACGACCATGGACACGGCGCTGGCCCTGGAGCGGCTGTTCCCGGAGCAGTGCCACATCCTGGGGATCGTGACCCCGGGGATTATAGGTGAGAGCGAGGCCCCGACGTGATTTCCCGCCTCGCCTTTGTATTTTTGGCCGTGCAAAACACATTGGCGTTGATCCCCGTGATCACTGTGCCACATCTCTGGGCTGTCTGTACACACCAGCTGTACCGCATGTCTTCCCAGAAGCCCTTCACGAGGGGGGAGCGGTTGTCTTCTGCCCTTCTGCCAACCAGCGCCAGTGAGCATGCTCACGGTCACTGCTGCTGCTGGGTGAGGGCAGGGGCCACCCCAGGAACTGCTGTTTCTCTGCTTGGCTGCCACTTCTGAAGTTGGTCGCATACATAGTGCCATTTTCCCAGTTTGTTGCTCTGAATTTTTGCTGGTTTTTATGGTTTTGATTGTTTTCTCTAGCTAAGGGGAGAGAGACGCCCTGTTGAGGCAGTGACAGGGCAGTGGTTCAGCCACCTGGTCTGGGATCTGGCTGCACCGATGCTGTCTGTGTGACCGCACAGGACCAGCCCCTGAGGGGTGCCAGGTCCCCACCTGGGCAATGGGGGCGGTAGTACCATCCTCAGGAGGTACAATGACTTAACACACGGAAGGTACTTAGAACACAGGTGTGCAGTCAGCAATGAGTAAATGTTAGGTATTATCTTTGTTCCACTCAGTAGTAATCCCTAGTGGTCATTTCTGATCCTCATTGGAAGACTTTTAACCTCAACTTCAGTCTTGTCCAGTGAAGCACCAAGGAGTTCAGGTATTTACAAATGAATAAGGGTATTTGATCGGACTCTGTGCTTCCATCAGCTCTCCACATTGGGGGTTAGGACTTCATGTACATTTTGGGGGAGATACAATTTTGATTCTGATACCTTCCTTTAACATTCACAACATATTACACATATATTTCCATGTCAATAAATACATCATTCTTAATGGCTACATTGGATTGTATAAATGTAACTTTTAATCTAAATATCAGTGTAGGACATTTTGACATTTCTTTTTATTTGTCACTAAAATTTTTCTGCTAAAAGTATTTGTGTGTGTGTGAGTTGTGTGTGTATATGTATGTTCAAGATAAATTTTTTAAAGTGGGACTGCTGAGAAGAAGTATTTACCACCCCACCAACTTTTTATTTAGAGAACTTTTAAACCTATAGAAAAGTTGAAAGAATAATAGTACATTAAACACCCACATACCCTTCATCTCATACCCTTTTTAAAAGATTCACTGTTTTAAAAAATGTTGCCCCATTTGCTTGTTGGGTCTTCGTTTATAGATACATTTCTTTCTGAGTCATTGCAGAGCCTCATGACTGTACTGCCCCAAACCTGGAAGCTGAAATCTCGGGTGGCAGCCTGTGAGCACGCTGGCTGGCTGGCTGGGGAGGCGGGAGGTGGCATGTGCTCTGTGACAGGAACCTTCGGTTTTGTTGTTTGAACCGTCATTTTTTGTGGCATCTGTTCACCAAACTGCTTCACTTTTCTCCTAGTGACACCAATGGGATCAGGTAGCAGTCGGCCTCAGGAAATAGAAATTGGAGAATCTGGCTTTGCTCTCCTCTTCCCTCAGATTGAAGGAATAAAAATACAGCCCTTTCATTTCATTAAGGATCCAAAGAACTTAACACTAGAAAGACATCGCCTCACCGAAGCAGGTAAGCTCCTGCTCTTTCCCGTAATCCCCACCCTGTTGATGGATTGCGTCCGAGTCCAGAGGAGGTTCACGGAACTGGAGCTGTGAGTCGTTCAGACGAGCAGTGAAAGGCGAGTGCAGTGCATTTCAGGTTTGAGAGAAGGTGTAGGCGAAGGCAGACTCTGTCGAGCAAGGGTTTATGAGGACATGTCACTCGGGAAGCGTGGCTGAAGCAGGCAGGTCATGAGGGGTCGTTTGGAAGCATGAAAGGACCGGCTCCGTGTCTAAGCTGTGATGACGAAGCTTCATCTCACACGGTAGCCGCGAACTGGCTACTCGAGCGAGCAAGGCAGTGTTACGGCCTTTTGTCCACAATCTGCACATGAAATGGTTGGCGTTAACTCGTTGAAAATCACGGTTGGCATAAAAAATCCGCAGTGGTGACCCCTTTGTCTACGCATAGGTCAACTCGCCTGCAGAGATAAGGCCCCGTTGTTTGAAATGGCCATGAAGCCAGCGAGAATCAAAACCCGTGGCCACAAAAGGAACGTTTGTGAATGGCCAGCATTTCCCGAGGCCTAAGCCGGGCGCCACACCACAGGCTGCTTCTGGTCCTCACGACAGCGTTGCTGGTGGAATTTATTGGGCTGTCCTGTGGATGAGGACTCAGAGTCCAAAGGGAGTAGAGAGCTGAGTATCTTAGAGCACGCAGTGCAGACACAAGATCCGCAGTAGCTGGGTTGTGCAAGCCCTCACAGCCTCGGGGGGCAAACTCCTCTCAGGAGAACCTCCGACTGTGCCTTTCCAAGCAACCCGGTGTCACGTGTAGCGGCAACTAGGGTTTCAGGCGCGAGTGTGGCTGGGTAGCCAAGCCAGGGCAGCTTTGTCGTGTCCTCCTGAGACTTGGCGTTGGGAGACTGGCTGGATGGAGCCGACAACGTTCAGCAGACCAGCTCGCTTTAGAATCGGTTACGTGGTTAGGAAACCGTTGGTCTGAGGTGGAGGCCAGACACGTGGTTGGAGCCCTCGGCACACTGCCCGGCGTCCGTTTGTGGCGTCCGTTTGTGTCGGCTGCCGCTGAGGGCTGCGTGAGCCCGCACAGGGCAGCGCAGTGCAGGGCTGCAGCGGGGGTTTCGGCCGCAAAGTCAGCGCAGCAACGAAGAAGAGAGGCAGGTTGATGCCGACAAGAGGGTGGCCGCGTTCAGTGGGTTCATGATACAGAAATTCTCAGTTAATTTCATTCCGTGATCTCCCATCAAGATCCGTGATTATAACTTCCGGGACCCCTCTTCCAAAGCAGGTCCCAGTCCAGGAATTCGATGAGGATGTATTTTGGGGGGAACCACCATTCAGCCCACTCCGGATTAGTGCCTTTTTTCTCCATTTCCCTGGGTCTCGGGTTCCCGCTGCCGCTCACTTTTCTGTGTGAAGCAGAGTCACTTTAGTCCCAGGCAGGCCCTGGGAGGACGTGGCCTGGCCCCCGGGTGCTGCTCAGTGACTGGCTTCTTCCTTATGTGTGTGGGGTGTTGACTGTGCTGTTTTCAAACAGCTGTTTAGTTTTTTTTTACTGGGGAAAAGCTGTAGCAAAGATTTTGAGTTGCGTTCAAGTTTGTAGAAAAGGGAAAATTTGACAGCTTAAGCACTAAGTTGCACAGAACTGAAAGTACAGGTTTTAACAGTAACATTTTACTTTCAAAATGTAGAAGGTAACGTTTTAATCGGGTAAATTTAAAGTTCCCGTTTTGAGGCCGTGACTCCTTGCTGCTCCTCGTTGCCCTGCAGGCCTCCTAGACAACCCCGAGCTCCGAGTGGTCCTGGTGTTCGGCTACAACTGCTGCCGGGTGGGGGCCAGCGACTACCTGCAGCGAGTCATCGGCACTTTCAGCGACATGAACGTCATCGTGGCTGGCGGCCAGGTGGACAACCTGGCCTCGCTGACCTCCGAAAAGTACGTCTGTGCGCGGAGGGGCGCATCCTCGGGGTTTTGTCACTGTGGTTCTTTTTAAAAACAAATTTGCAGACTGGTTAACCTTAAAAACAAATTTGCAGACTGGTTAACCTAACCGTTCACTCCATGTCGTGGTGGGTCCTGGGTGAGGGGCTCCCTGACCACCATTCTGCTCACAGCTGGAGAGCAAAATGCACACACGTCGTCCTTGAAGAACTTCCTCTCGGTGGGACTCATGCGCTCTCGGAAGTAATGCTCAACCTTGTCTACTAAGGCCCCGCTCTGCCTCTGTGTGACCTGCGTGTCACTTCCTCTCCAGTTCTGTCTAAGAGCAGATCTCAGGGTCAAGCTTTTCAGAGCCTCTGATGTGCTTAGTGCTTCTGGAATCTTCTAGAGGGGCAGTAACATTACCCGTGGCCATCCTCAAACCGGTTTGGCCATAAAACTTTTGTTTCTGTGGAGCCTCTGCAGGCCCACCTGTGCCACTGGGCACGTGCATTTGGAATTCTGTACTAGATCTTTTGAACGGCTTTGTCAAACACAATAATTGTTTACTTCAGGCTCTGCTTTCAAAGATAAAAAAAATATTTGCTCTTCTGTCATAACTCCCTTCCCATTTTGAATGCACGTATGTAGTGTTTTGAGTTTGAGCTACTTACACGAACAGAAATATCAACTGTCTCCAAAAGCAGGAAGGTGACACTCCTACCCCCCGATGTGCCCTGCAGACCCCTGTGCTCATTTCTCACTGTTCGAGTTAGTGTTTCGCCTCTAGAGTTAGCGACGTGGAGTGTGGTTGGAGCGCAGCCTCTCTCAGGGCCGTGTCAGTCGCCCCAGGTGTGACGTTGCACCCTACCTGCCCTTGGCCTCCACTGTTGGGTCAGGGAAAGCAGAGAGCTAAGTCGGGTCCCTGGACCGTCGTCGGGGAGGAAGGGAGGGAGGCCAAGTGCACTGAGCTCCAGGCAGTGCTCTGCCTCGAGCAGCTGCCGCGGGGAGTGTCCCTCACAGGACACGTCAGTGTGGTCTTCGTCCTGGGTCAGCGTGCACGAGAAGCCGTTTGCATAAGTCAGTGCAGCGACCTAAGGGTGTTCAGATATGTACCTGCTCCCACCCCCCCAAAAAGGTAGGTCAGTGATTCTCCAAGACAAGAGATTCACAACACACAGGCAGTCGTGTGCCGGAGAGGAACTGGGGTGAAGTCAGAGGAGCCACAGGAGCCTCGGGAAGGTGGCTTCTCCCCCTCAGAACTGGCTTTGCCACTGGCTGGCCTTACTCTATTAGTCATTTAAGCTTTTTGAGTCGTAGTTTCTTGTCAGTCCAGTGACTCCTGCCTGATTCATAGCCTCTGATGTTGGTAAACATGACAGAAATGTAAGGTCCTTGTTTTCCCCCTGTGGGTGTTCACTGTATTATGCTTTGTCATTGTATTGAGACTGCTTTTTTTTTTTATTAAGAATGAAATATTTCATTGAAAAGTATCAGGCAAATACAAACAAAAAAGGAAATGTGTTTTAACCTTCAGATTAAGCTGAATTTTAGGCTGAAAGCAATAAACAAGACGCAGCAATGTAATCGTATTTCTTTACGGAGCCAACAACATAAAGCTAGGAACACCTTCCATGACTGAATAGCCGCGGTGGGGGGAAGCACGAAAGAGGGACACAGCCCCAACAAGCCTCATGTGCCCGACATCACTGTGTACGCCAGGGAAGTTGTAACGTTACTTTTAAGGAAGCGAGCAAGGTAGGAGTACCCCTCCGAACTCAGGATTGGTTTTGGAAATCTCCGTGGAGCTGCATTTGCCCCCCTGTATCTGCGACTGAAAGACTAGGGGTTTACTTGCCCATGGACGCGACGTGCCTTCTGCGTTCCTTTCCGTAGTGTCGTGTCCACCCCTCGTCCCACTCGCACTGGAAGGTGAGCCGCAGACCGAGGGAGGGCCGCTAACGGCAGCAGCTCCCAGCCAGTGAATCAGGAGGATTTTCCTTTTGTGTTACCTGTTAAAATTTAATTTTTTTTTTTGGCTTCATGATAAATCGGCGCTGTTCTACTTGACTGTTCCAGGCACCCTCTCGACATCGACGCCACCGGGGTGGTCGGGCTGTCGTTCAGCGGCCCGCGGATCCAGAGCGCCACTGTGCTCCTCAACGAGGACGTCAGCGACGAGAAGACGGCCGAGGCGGCCATGCAGCGCCTCAAAGCGGCCGGCATCCCCGAGCGCAACACCGTGGGCTTCATGTTCGCCTGCGTGGGCAGGGGCTTCCAGTACTACAGAGCCAAGGGGAACGTGGAGGCTGACGCGTTCAGGAAGTTCTTCCCGGGGGTTCCTTTGTTTGGCTTCTTTGGAAACGGAGAAATTGGATGCGATCGCATCGTCACTGGGAACTTTGTCTTGAAGAAGTGTAACGAGGTAAAGGACGATGACTTGTTTCACAGCTACACAACAGTAATGGCGCTGATTCACCTCGGGTCGCCGAAGTAAAGCTGCCCGGGGAAGGGGCTTTCACAGCACAGGACTCTGGGGTTCTGCCTTTCCAGGAAGCGCGGAGACTTGGGATGTATGTATTTCAAACAAAAATAGCTTTACACGTATTTGTTTTGTAGCTTTGATGCTCTAAAGATTTCTTTGGGGTAGTTTTAATATAATAGAAGGACAACCACGTGTGTGACTTCATACAGAACGAGGGCTGGGAGCTTTCGCAGGAGGCGCGAGCAAACCGATCATGGCTGTCGCACCAGGTTCCGCAGCTGCTGTGCGTGTGATTTTAACCCGCCTCCCGCAGAGGAGGGCGGACGGAGGGTTCGTAGAAGGATGGCGACTGCAGGCATTCCGTGACTACCTCAGCATTGTTAGGTGATCTTTTAGCAGAATCATGAAGACACTTTCCTCCCTTAATAAAGGAGGAAAATATTCAGATGGCTCGAGAAATCTTTCTCCGCTTTACAATGTTACCAATTTTTTCACAAGCTGTAATGAAATTATTACTGACTTTTTACTTATTTGATAAATATTGAAGACCTATTTTTGTTTTGGTTCTCTACAGTTGCTTAGTGAAATAAATGGCCAAGACTAATAAGCAGTGTTTTATTCTTCTATAAGGAAAACAATTTTCCTTTTCCCTCCAACCGTGTTATGAGACAGGAATGAACACCGGTCTTGTCTAAGCCACTTTCGCCTGGGCCTTAGTCGCAGGACAACCGGTGCTAGCATTTGCTCCCTAGCCCGGTGCGATGCAGCTACTGCAAGACACCTCCGGTGTAGTTCTCGGTGGTTCTCACAGGAAGGTAGAAAACTTGTAAGGTAAGTGACATCAAATGTGCTGACATTCCTGCTTTTCTATTTTTAAGCACTCTTCTCCCTATTTTTGCCTGGAAAGATTTTTCTCTTCCTGTTTATGCACATGATAAAAATACTTCAAAGTTTCCTTTGTCTTATAGTTCCCCTCCATCTTAGTTCCTGAAGAAAGTCCAAAAATAGTCCGATGGTCACAGAATGTTTAGTCTGTGCACAGTAGTATGCAGGCATTTCTATGTTGCTATTAACTTTTTATTATGTAACACTGGTACCCGTTGTCAAGTAGATGATGCCTCAGAATTTGAGTCCTTGGCTGTGCTTACATAGCACAGAAGGAAAACACGTTGTAAATTATTTTGGTTCTGTGATGTTAACCAAAGTTGGTTAAATTGTAGAAGAAAAGTGAATTTTAAAAATGAAAATTTTAAAATATATGAGCCAGGGGATGACGTGGATTACAGTGTTTTGTCACTTACATGAAGTGGCTCTGCAGGGTCATTTCATATAACATTTGAGGTTAACAGAGGGATCCTATTTGGTAGTCAAGCCTTGCGGGGGGCTTGTTAGGAATAGCAAATTCATTATGCCACCAGGCTGTGACCTTGGTGCAGAATAGGAGGAGAACTTGACCCAGGAGAAATCAGAGCAGTACAGGAAGTCCTCACTTAACGGTGTCAATAGGTTCTTAGAACCGTGGTGAAATGACAAGTGATGAACCCAATTTCACCACTTCAGGCTACTTGATATGGAGTTAAGTTCCTGCAGCAGCTCATAGGGTTGTAACAGGATGACAGTAAATGCTACAGTGTTGCTTGAGGGCCCATTGCCCTGCTGAGAACAAAGGTAGCCCAGGAAGGGAAGTCATAATTTAACCAATGTTACAATGAAATAATCTATTACAATTTTGGAAGGCTTGTCTTAAATAAAAGCGTTCATTAAAGGAATAGTTACTGTTTCCACTGGAAACACAAGTGCATTCCTAGAAGTGGCAACTGATGTAGCCATTTGTAGCCATTTGGAAAAATGGTCACAAGAAAAATGGACAAGAGCACAAAATGAGAAGATGCACCGCTGGTGTCTTCGCGCACTGAGTGGCCGCCGCCTGAGTGGTGATCAGGTTGACAGGATGGCTTATTTAATCAAGATGTTGGTTGGAGCGTTGTCTTGATTAGTGTGCTCACTTCAGTAGTGTCATGTCCACCCCTTGTCCCACTCGGACTAGAAGGTGAGCTGCAGACCGAGTGAGGGCCGTTAAAGGTAGCAGCTCCCAACCAGTGAACCAGGAGGATTTTTCTTTTGTTTCACACGTTAGCTTGTGGGTTAGGTTCCTGGTTAGGGCGCGGATGACCCCCGGTCCATGCACATACGAGAAGCAGTCAGTCAATGTTTCTCTCTCTCCCTTCCTCTCTAAAAGCAATGATAAAAAATGCCCTCAGGTGAGGATAAAAAAATATATAAATGTATATACATTAATTTCCTTGATACACTTTCAAAGCAAAATTTTTCTGCAGCTACAGTTTGTTTATAAAAGGAATATATTTCCATTCCCTTTATCCAAGTAGAACTAAACTCCTTATCAGTGAGCAGCAACTCAAGGAAGTGAAGGAAAGGTAGGCTTTGAGATTCAAACCCGGGAATGGACACTCTGCACAGTGATGTAATAACTAATCACCGTCTGTGTGCCGCTCTAATGCAGAGGGTCCTGCAGAGCAGGTTACCACTGTAGTCCCCTCAAATGGCAAACATACCAACTTCCGAACCTAATAAGAGAGACCAGATAGCAAGTGTTGTCATTTATTAACATTGAAAATTTAACACAACGAACATGTAAAGAATGTAAAATAAACTTTTACAAATCTATATAAAAGTTTTTGACAAAACTCAACTTTTATCACTTCATGCACACTCTATAGCTTACATTGGCAGCACCGTAAGTTGCATTTTAATAGAAAGAGAAGACGGTATGTAAATCAGGGGTGTCCAACCACGTGGCCCAGGATGGCTGTGAACATGGCCCAACACAAGATCGTAAATTTACTTAAAACATTAGGAAATGTTTTTGTAATTATGTATCACAGTGTATTTAATATGTAGCCAAAGACAACTCTTCTTCCCATGTGGTCCAGAGATGCCAAAAGGTTGGACACCCCTGCTCTGAATCGTCTTGATTGGAACTTTGTAGATGAAATTTTGAGATGACTGACTTGATTTCATTTGTAGAGACTGGGCATGGGTCTGCTTAATAAAAACCCTGCAATAACCGAACAGAACAAGCATCAGTGATAAGATCCTTGTTTAATGAACAAAACTAAACCCTATGTAAAGAATGTGTTCCTTGAGTTGTTTTTCATATTGGCAATTGCAAGACATGCTATTTTTGTCTTATATACATCCATTGTGCCCTACAGTATACCTGAGGGGCAGGTAATAGGAATATATGCTACCAGGAAATAGAAAACGTTGGCAGGAGCCAATAAACCTTATCTAAGATTTTGGTTCTAAGAGTGCACGGAACATTTTCATTTCATAAACAGGTTGTGTAAAAGTTATTGTTCTCTGTTGACTCATCACAGCCTGCAAACAAGGCAGGATTCATAATTATAGGAAACTGGAAAGAAATCTGTTCATTGATTTTAAGTGCAGATGATCAGAATGAGTATTTTCAGACCATTTTCTTAACATTTACACAGTGCCCAGTCTGACTAACCAAAATTCAGTCATCACACATGTGCCTGAAACACTCTCTCCGAGGCCTCATCGTGATGTGAGAATGACAGATACCTTAGTGACACCAGCCAAACGGTGGACTAGGACGCTCCGGAACACAGACCCCAGCGGGCCGCAGTGGGAACCAACTCTGCAGAGCTCTGGAAAAGAGGTTTACGGCACCCGAGAAGAAAAACCAGTTTTAAGGGCATAGGAAAGTTTTGTGACTTTTCACTGACCCTTGCCCCAGTGCAGCGGTGGTCTTATTCTTAAAGTGGCAGACTTTATTTGCAAATGAGTGTTTATGTCTTTCCTAATCTAGGGGGTACCTAAAGGACTGACCTAAGTGTTCATCTTTGTTTTGCATATCTTGGAAAAAGGGGGTGGGCACCGCTTGTAAAAGCTGGAAGGTCACTACAAACTCACAGACCTGGGGCAAGAGGTTATGGGTGGAGACATAAAATGTATAATATGTAAAGCTCAGAGGGAGACGCTGGGGTGAGACAAGCTGGTCCAGGTGAGAGGCAGCTTGTCTCTGCCAGCTGACTTATTGTTGGACAGCACTGGCCCTCTGGAGGTGGCCCTTCCTGACAGTAAAAAGGACAGAAATTAGGTAAGTGCAAAAGCGGAGAGAAATTTTCGACTTGACCATGTGGAGGTTTTCTTCTCCACAACCGCCTGACACAGCCAGGGCTACCCCACAACGCGGCCCATCAGTTAACCAATCTGCCGGGCAAACAGGGCACCTCTGGGGACTTCACATGCTTGCGATGCCACTTAGTCTTCTCTTTGAAGACGGCGGAGATGCTATGGTTTTGTGTAATGTGTTCGTGCTGTTGCTAAAGAGGTCAGTTTTCATTATTTGGAGCCCTTACGTGACTTGGGTCGAGTTTTAGTCAACTGTCCTGTTCACTCCAGGATTCCACGTTCACAAGTCTCTGAGATAGCCTAGTGTGCGTTTGATGATTAGTGGTGAGAGTTATGGTACCAGGCACCTCCTAAACCTCATAAATCCTGCATTCACTTTCACAGAATTTCAGAAAAAAAAACTGAGGACCAGAACTAATGAATGAAAGTAGTCTTCAGTGTGCAGCATTATTTCACGTGACTCTTTTTTACTTTTGTCTCGTGAGTTACTAGTCTCCTCATAGTAATGGCCTGCTGGTTTGTCTGTGCAAACTGATTTAAATCCCTATGGAGCCAGGGAACATGTCTGTCTTGTTCACTATTCCCTAGGGTCAGCACAATGCCTAGCACGCAGTAAACGATAGTTGACCCTAGATATTGATCACGTTATATTTTATTTACAGTGTTGGATAAGTTGTTACTTTTCTTTAACATTCCACATTTACTTTGCATAGACCTAGCCTAAATATTTAGGTGTTTGCAGCGTATTTGCTTTAGTGAATGTGTGTTTGCTAGTTTAGAGGAGTCAGGCTAAATAACGACAGTCCCAACAAGCAGAGACTGCTTAAGATCCTGTGACTTACGGATTTCACAACTGTTAGAGAGAGAACCCTAAACTGAAAACACTGTCCAGAAGAGTATCCCGAGCTAAAGGGCATATAATTATTTAGTAGAACAACTACTTTATGTGTTACTTTTTCCTCTTCAGAAGCACATCTCTCTGTTGCTTACCTGCAGAGGCAGTAGAGGGCTCCAGCGATAAGAGTTCCTAGAAGAACCGCCAGAGCCACACAAGCTGCAAGCGGGCCAGGTTTCGTTTGGGTGCTGGTGCTTGGGAGGAAAACCTCCTCACAACGAGCTCCCGTATAATTGTCCATGCAACTATAGAAGGAAATTTTGGATAAAGAACGGCATTCTTTGTTCCATTAACTAATACAGAACGCAGATGGTATCCTACTGGCATCAAGAAAAAGGACTAATTTTCAGATTGCGAACGTAGGCACGTTCCACGATGCTCATGGAGCTCCAGTCACAGTAAAACAAACGAGCAGGTGCGGTCTGATCCTTGCCATCTTTTCAAGTTTTCTCCTTGCTTCAAAAATCCATAGAAAATTACAGACTATTCCTCTAACGTTCCAGGTTTACAGTTATGTAAATATCCACACTTAA